TTGTTCTGGTCTGATGATTATGTGCAGAGTTATGGTCCTTGGACTTAGAGAATTCACTTAAATATTCAGTTTTCAGCACTTTTTTTCGTCATGCTTGAAGATATTGATTTGATAGGTAGATTTATCATGACAAGTTACAGATCAAGTTCGAATTTTATTCCAGTCTGATGATTTTGTGCAGAGTTATGGTCCTTGGACTTAAATAATCAGTTTTCAACACTTTTTAGCTCACCTGACCTGAAAGGTCAAGTGAGCTTTTCTCATCACTTTGCGTTTGTCGTCCGTCGTCCTGCGTCTGTCGTCCGTCGTCCTGCGTCCGTCGTCCTTCGTCCGTAAACTTTTACAAAAATCTTCTCCTCTGAAACTACTGGGCCAAATTTGACCAAACTTGTCCACAATCATCAATAGGGTATCTAGTTTAAAAAATGTGTCCGGTGACCTGGCCAACTAACCAAGATGGCCGCCATGGCTAAAAATAGAACATAGGGGTAAAATGTAGATTTTGGCTTATATCTCTGAAACCAAAGCATTTAGAGTAAATCTGACATGGGATAAAATTGTTTATCAGGTCAAGATCTATCTGCCCTGAAATTTTCAGATGAATCTGACAACCCGTTGTTGGGTTGCTGCCCCTGAATTGGTAATTTTAAGGAAATTTTGCCGTTTTTATACGACCGCAAAAATTAAAAATTTTTTGGTCGTATATTGGTATGACGTTGGCGTCGTCGTCGTCGTCGTCGTCGTCCGGCGTCGTCCGAAGACACATTGGTTTTCGCACTCTAACTTTAGTTTAAGTGAATGGATCTCCATGAAATTTCACCATAAGGTTCAATACCACAAAAGGAAGGTTGGGATTGATTTTGGGGGTTATGGTACCAACAGTTAAGGAATTAGGGGCCAAAAAGGGGCCAAAAATAAGCATTTTTGTAACTTTCAGACAATAACTTGTGTGTAAGTGTGTGGATCTCTCTGACATTGTACCACAAGGTTCCATATCACAAAGGGAAGGCTGTTATTGATTTTGGGGGTAATTGCCTCAAAATTTTAGGAATTAGGGGCCAAAAAAGGGGCAAAAAACAAGCATTTTTCTAGTTTCATGACAATAACTTGTGTGTAAGTGTTTGGATATTTCTGAAATTGTACTACAAGGTTCCATATCACAAAGGGAAAGCTGGAATTGAGTTTGGGGGTAATTGCCCGAAACGTTTAGGAATTGGGGGCCAAAAAGGGGCCAAAAATAAGCATTTTTCTAGTTTCCAGACAATAACTTGTGTTCAAGTGTATGGATCTCTCTGAAATTGTACTGCAAGGTACCATACCACAAAGGGAAGGCTGGGATTGAGTTTGGGGGTGATGAATCATAAGGGGGTTCAAAAAATTTGGGGGGGGGATTTTTTTTTTTTTTTTTTTTCTTTTTTTCCTTTTTTTTTTCTTTTAAAATTTTCCATTTTAAGTTGGGTTATTTCTGATTTATATTTAAAAGCAAATAATAATGATATGGTAGGAGATACACACCAAACAGGATGTGTAAATTATTATATAATAAGTATTGTGCAATAGCAAGAAATTTTCAATTGCACAGTATTGCACAATAGCAAGAAATCTTCAATTGCACAGTATTGCGCAATAGCAAGAAATCTTCAATTTAACAGTATTGCGCAATAGCAAGAAATATCCAATAGCACAATATTGCGCAATAGCAAGAAATTGTCAATTGTACAGTATTGCGCAATAGCAAGAAATATTCAATTGCACAGTATTGTGCAAAAGAAGATACTTCGTATAAATTGCTTATTTCTTGATCAATTTCAATGGGGTTTTATTCTTGAATTCTTGGGGTTCTTTGATATGCTGAATCTAACCGTGTATTAAGTTTTTGGATTTTGGGCCCCGTTTTTAAATTGGTCCACATTGAGGTCCAAAGGGTCCAAAATTAAACTTTGTTTGATTTCATCAAAAATTGAATTATTGGGGTTCTTTGATATGCCGAATCTAACCGTGTATTTAGATTTTTAATTTTGGGTCCCGTTTTTTAAATTTGTCTACATTAAGGTCCAAAGGGTCCAAAATTAAACTTAGTTTGATTTTAACAAAAATTGAATTCTTAGGGTTCTTTGATATGCTGAATCTAAACATGTGTTTAGATTTTTGATTATGGGCCCAGTTTTCAAGTTGGTCCAAGTTGGGGTCCAAAATTAAACTTTGTTTGATTTCAACAAAAATTGAATATATGGGGTTCTTTGATATGCTGAATCTAAACATGTATTTAGATTTTAGATTTTTGGCCCAGTTTTCAAGTTGGTCCAAATTGGGGCCCAAAATAAAACTTTGTTTGATTTCAACAAAAATTGAATATATGGGGTTCTTTGATATGCTGAATCTTACCATGTAATTAGATTTTTTATTTGTGGGCCCGCTATCAAATTGGTTCATATTGAGGTCAAAAGGGTCCAAAATTAAACTTTGTTTGATTTCATCAAAAATTGAATTATTGGGGTTCTTTGATATGCCAAATCTAACCGTGTATTCAGATTTTTAATTTTGGGTCCTGTTTTTTAAATTGGTCTACATTAAGGTCCAAAGGGTCCAAAATTAAACTTAGTTTGATTTTAACAAAAATTGAATTTTTGGGGTTCTTTGATATGCTGAATCTAAACATGTGTTTAGATTTTTGATTATGGGACCAGTTTTCAAGTTGGTCCAAGTTGGGGTCCAAAATTAAACTTTGTTTGATTTCAACAAAAATTGAATATATGGGGTTCTTTGATATGCTGAATCTAAACATGTATTTAGATTTTAGATTTTTGGCCCAGTTTTCAAGATGGTCCAAATTGGGGTCCAAAATTAAACTTTGTTTGATTTCAACAAAAATTGAATATATGGGATTCTTTGATATGCTGAATCTTACCATGTATTTAGATTTTTTATTTGTGGGCCCGCTATCAAATTGGTTCATATTGAGGTCAAAAGGGTCCAAAATTAAACTTTGTTTGATTTCATCAAAAATTGAATTATTGGGGTTCTTTGATATGCCAAATCTAACTGTGTTTTTAGATTTTTAATTTAGGGTCCCATTTTTTAAATTTGTCTACATTAAGGTCCAAAGGGTCCAAAATTAAACTTAGTTTGATTTTAACAAAAATTGAATTCTTCGGGTACTTTGATATGGTGAATCTAAACATGTGTTTAGATTTTTGATTATGGGACCAGTTTTCAAGTTTGTCCAAGTTGGGGTCCAAAATTAAACTTTGTTTGATTTCAACAAAAATTGAATATATGGGGTTCTTTGATATGCTGAATCTAACCATGTATTTTGATTTTGGACATTGGACCATAATAGGTAAATTAAAAAAATTGAAGTTCTTAGACCACATTCTTTCTGTGTCAGAAACCTATGCTGTGTCAAATATTTAATCACAATCCAAATTCAGAGCTGTATCAAGCTTGAATGTTGTGTCCATACTTGCCCCAACTGTTCAGGGTTCGACCTCTGCGGTCGTATCAAGCTGCGCCAAGCGAAGCATTTTATTGGTTATTATCTTGAATATTATTATAGATAGAGGTAAACTGTAAACAGCAATAATGTTCAGCAAAGTAAGATCTACAAATAAGTCAACATGACCAAAATTGTCAGTTGACCCCTTAAGGAGTTATTGCCCTTTATAGTCAATTTTTAACCATTTTTCGTAAATTTTTGTAATCTTTTACAAAAATCTTCTCCTCTGAAACTACTAAGACAAATTTAACCAAACTCGTCCACAATCATCATTAGGGTATTTAGTTTAAAAAATGTGTCCGATGACCCCGCCCGCGAACCAAGATGGCTGACATGGCTAAAAAATAGTTCATAGGGTAAAATGCAGTTTTTGGCTCATATCTCTGAAACCAAAGCATTTAGAGCAAATCTGACAAGAATAAAATTGTTTATTAAGTCAAGATCTATCTGCCCTGAAATTTTCAGACCAATCAGGCAACACGTTGTTGGGTTGATGCCCCTGAATTGGTAATTTTAAGAAAATTTTGCAGCTTTTGGTTATTATCTTGAATATTATTATAGATAGAGATAAACTGTAAACAGCAATAATGTACAGAAAAGTAAGATCTACAAATAAGTCAACATGACCAAAATTGTCAATTGACCCCTTAAGGAGTTATTGCCCTTTATAGTCAATTTTTTACAATTTTCATAAATTTTTGTAAATTTTTACAAAATATTTTCCACTGTAACTACTGGGCCAAGATCATTATAGATAGAGATAATTGTAAGCAGCAAGAATGTTCAGTAAAGTAAGATCTACAAACACATCACCATCACCAAAACACAATTTTGTCATGAATCCATCTATGTCCTTTGTTTAATATGCACATAGACCAAGGTGAGCGACACAGGCTCTTTAGAGCCTCTAGTTTTCGTCATGCTTGAAGATATTGATTGATATTTGTTATATAGTTACACCATGACAAGGTATAGATCAAGGTAGCATTTTGTTCCTATACAATGAATTTTTAACCGATAGGGGACTATGTATTGCCATGCAATACTCTCAGAATTCTTGTTATAATGGAAATCACATTGCATTTCCTCTGAAGCCTTCATTTCTCTAAAATTTATAAAAAGTTTTAGAGATAAAAAAAAATGTTTTTTTTTAGTTATAGCACTTGTACCTTGGATAGATAAAATATGTGCAAAGGGGGGACATTGGAACTCTGTTCTTTTATAGATGTCTGGATTATGTTCATATGTCATGTTCATGTATGTCTGAAAAGTTTTTGTAGAATAAAGAGCTGTGTTTAAAAATTAAATTAGTTTCCCAATAATAATGTACAACTGAACATTAAATGCAATTTTCTTTTTGTAAGAGAAGAGACACTACCAAACTATTTTAGGCTTGAAAACCTAGGAGCTAGAAAGGTCAAAGTTCTTGTTTGTATTCAGCTTGTTATGTCATAGCCTGCTTTTAAGGTATACAAATACATTTTGTAGCTCTTTTTAATTTTAGAAATTTACGAGACAGAGATGCATTTTCAAAGTCAGATCCAATTTGTGTTCTATATAACAAAGATGTTCGTACAAATTCTTGGCATGAGGTAAGTTTCCGAAGGTAAAACTTTAAGATGAATGGGAAGGGGGTTAATGACATGTACAAAATGTATACTTAAAATCATGCATATTATTTGAATACATATTTTCAAGAAGTAAAAAATGCATTTATATATGTACATTTTATGATGATTTTTCATGTAATTAATCTTTTCTGTTAGTCATGTATTCACATTAGTCTCTCTTTCACCAAGGACAGTTGTCAAATGGGTATGGCCCTTAATTACCAAGCTCATTCCTATATTTTTAACATTTACATTTTTTATACCTCCTATTAACTGTGCAAAACTTGAGGTATTTAGTTTGACAGGAACAACAACAATAAATTACATAATGAAATAAATCATAACCATGGTTGTGGCATAAAATGTGTCTTTCAGCCAAAATCATTTTAAGTCATACTTCAACACAACATTTTACTAAATCTAATGTTTGGAGTCTTTGAACAATATATATGCATGCATACTTTGTCTAGTTTTTGTGAAAAATAACAATCAACAATATAATTTGTTTCAGTTTGGAAGAACAGAAATGATAAAAGACTGCTTAAATCCAGATTTTGTCAAGAAATTCATGATGAATTTCATGTTTGAAGAATCACAGAAATTAAAATTTGAAATGTAAGTTAACTCTCATTACAAGTCAAACATGAAAATCATTGTCAGAGTTCGACATTAATGGGTGTCTTATTACCCCAGACAGGTAAAAGTCATCATCGGGCAAGTAAAAGCTTCAATGTACATGTATTTGTCCAATTGGCAAGTAAAAATTAAAAGTTAAAAATGCTGAAAAATACAAAATCTAGTCTTAATTAATTATCTTTTAATCAATAAATCATCATATCAATCAGCCCCACCAATATTGACAAATTTTTGTTTTAGTATTTTCTGTTTCTAACTATAGACAAGTTAAAAATATTGGCCAATCAGAGTACGATTCAGTTGTTGACACATTCTTTATGAACCTAGCTATTTTAGTAAATCTATCTGAGAAATAATAATTAATGATAACAATTCTAAATCTCCTTAACATCGTCAATTTTTGAAACCTTGAACAAAAGTGAAATAAAAAAAGATAAAGATATATATATAAATACATTTACCCGTGATATTTATTTAAGGGCATACGATACAGTTACAGAGGAGATAAAGACGTTGCTAACGTAAAGTGTTATTTTTCACGACGTCAAACCGCGACATATCAGGAAAAAATGCATGTTTTCAAGTGATTTTAATCATTAGCTTGAAAACGAGTACATGGACCCCATTTTTTTAAAATTACATTTTACTTGATACAATATGAAGGTTATTTGTTCCAATTTTTATGAAGAAATCACCATTGAATTTTATTTGAATTCTAAAATAACATTCCCAAGCCCCATTATAGTTGGCACAACAGCTATCTCTGGTGGAGTTTTTGGCAAAATACAGAAAATAAGGAAAGCTGACATGATAAAACCCCAAAAATAGAAATGTAAAAAAGAGGAATATGAGATTTATTGAATCTTTGAAACACTTTAATGGAGATGTTGTAGATTGAATAATTTGTATATAAGAACAGTACAGGATAGACAAATAAGTCCTTGCAAATTAAACAACAAATAATAAACACAGACAACTACAAAATTATATGTTATGACTTAAACCATATATATTTTTGCTTCGAGTTTGCTTTAAGGTTGCTGGTGAACTGGTGTGGTTTAAGTGGCTTGGTACAGCACTTTTCGTAATCCACTACAATTCATTCCTTTTTTAGTGGCATTTACCTGATTTTATGTCCATAAATGGCAGTAAAAAATTTCTTAAGAAAGTACAAAATTTAGTCAAGGGGTTATCTCTTTCGGACAAGTAATATATCATGGGTACTTGAACGAAGGTCAAGTTGTTAAAAAAGTTAATGACAAACCCTGATTGTAGAACTTACATTTACAATTGTTTTTATGAATGTAATATTTGTTCACAACATATTGAAAATCACCCTGGAAATTAAAAATACTATCAACGACTAGTCAAGCTTCAGATTATAATTGACTATTAAATTCAGAGTGTCTTGACCCCCAAAATACCACCCTCAAATACATCCTGGCTACAGGCCTGCATACATGTTGTTCATACACTTAAAAATAGATCAAAGAGTTGTCCTCTTGACTTATAAATCAGTTAAAGTACCTTTTACCATTCCACAATTATTTAATTGTCAATAGACAAATTTTCATAAGTTACTTTACTTAATAACCAAATGCCAGGTCCTCTTCCAGGTGCATACCTGTCAACCCCTGAAACTGGAAATGCTGGTCATGAGCTGCATTGAAGAAGAAAATGTCAGGTCATAACGCGTACAAACTTTTTACGGTTCAATTTTAGTATTTAGAGTTTTTTTTATTTACTATATTAAACATATACATGTACCACTGAGTTTCCTACAAATATTTACTTTTGTATTTGTTAATTATATAAATACTTATCATTAATTAAATATCTTTCTAAAGCAATACCCTCATTGTTTTTAATCACACTACTTGTTATTAATGAATGTCATAAACCCCAGCTATGCATGTAATTAGAAATCAATTATAGCTAATGTGCTCCTATACACAGGAGGAAGATAAATAGAAAGAAGTTAGTGTGTTTCCTTTCACTGCAATATTTAGAGCATATGTATTTGATTCAAAGCTTTTACATTTAAGTGATAACAAAATTATTCTCTCCAACAGAAATGTATTAAAAGGTTCAAATTGTTTTAAAATGATTTTTATAGGATATTTGCAAACAGCAAATCTTTTAATCAGGACATAAAAATAAAATTGAGAATGGAAATGGGGAATATGTCAAAGAGACAACAACCCGACCAAAGAGGAGACAATAGCCGAAGGCCACCAATGGGTCTTCATCGCAGCGAGAAAATCCCGCACCCGGAGGTGGTCCTCAGCTGGCCCCTAAATAAAATTGTGTACTAGTTCAGTGAAAATGGATGTATCACTAAACTCCAAAACATATAAATGAACTAAAATTAAAAAACATACAAGACTAACAAAGGCCAGAGGCTCCTGACTTGGAAAAGGCGCAAAAATGCGGCGGGGTTAAATATGTTTTGTGAGATCTCAACCCTCCCCCTATACCTCTAGCCAATGTAGAATAAAGAAACACATAGCAATACGCACAGTAAAACTCAGTTCAAAAGATGTCCGTGTCCGATATCAGAATAGGTAACAAAAGAAACTAAGCAAAATGACAATAATACATAAATGAACAAAGGACGACTAGCAGTTACTGACATGTCAGCTCCAGACCTCAATTACCGGTAAACTGATTGAAAGATTATGTCTTCATCATATGAAAATCAAGTAGAATCCCTCCCGTAAGGGGTTTAGTATCATACCATCATAAAATATATGAGAAGAACATAACCCGTATCATGCCAATAACTGGTTTTAGAATAAATGTGTTAATTTCCAATGCAAAGACCCTATGAGTGAATCAATATTAATACCAAAATATGCAATCCTTAATGACTTGACAACAGTATCGTAACTATATCCTTTCCGAATAAGTCTGTTTAAAGGTTTGGTTAGCTTTTGAGGTGAATGCCGACATTTTTGTGCTTTGTAAAGAATATTACCATAAAATATTGGATGTGAAATACCTGAACGTATAAGATGTCTGCATGTTGATTTATATATACGAATGATGTCCTTGTACCGATGATAAAATTTAGTAAATGTTTTGACTAGTTTGTGATATCGAAAACCCTGGTGTAATAATTTTTCAGTAATACAGAGATTTCTTTCGTTGAAATCAAATACGTTGTTACATACACGAGCGAATCGAACAAGTTGAGATATATAAACACCATAAGATGGTGACAAAGGAACGTCACCATCTAAAAATAGATAATTAACAATAGGAAATGAAAAATATATGCTAGTTGCCTTTTAGCTCGTATAAGTATTTGTAAATATTAAAACAAAAAACAAGCACAAATCCAAAAGTATAAACATAAAATTTGTGTTGATAGCTACATGTATTATTGATATTGATGCTACCATCTTTTATCATATTCTTTTTTCAGAATGATTCATATTTATTTTGCTCAAATCGTTATTGTTTGTTTCAATAATTGCATTCTCTGTTACAGTTATGATGTAGATTCTCCAAGCTCTAGACTTGAAGCTCAGGTGAGATAAAAAAAAACCTTGAACACTTTCACTTTCATATTTGTCTCATGTTAGAAGTAACCCTAAGACATACATGTGCATATTAACTAGTGAATACTAGAGAAAGATTCTGGTGATGTCAATTAGAAATCAGGTCACACATCACAGTCATTTAGGTAAAAATGAAAATGTGTTTTTAGACCAATTATTTGTCATGAAAAAAATAGGCGAGGTGCAGTGACACAATTACAAAGAAACATTTAGAGGTCTAGATAGGTATTTATACAAAATGTAATATGTCAAGCTCTAAATTACCAGGAGTGGAATAAAGGTGTTAGACAGGTATTTATATATACAAAATGTAATATGTCAAGTTCAAAATTACCAGGAGTGGAATAAAGGTGTTAGACAGGTATTTATATATATAAAATGTAATATGTCAAGCTCTAAATTACCAGGAGTGGAATAAAGGTGTTAGACAGGTATTTATATATACAAAATGTAATATGTCAAGTTATAAATTACCAGGAGTGGAATAAAGGTGTTAGACAGGTATTTATATATACAAAATGTAATATGTCAAGTTCTAAATTACCAGGAGTGGAATAAAGCTGTAAACAATTTTAAAGATAGAATTGAGAATGGAAACGGAGAATGTGTCAAAGAGACAACAACCCAACCAAAGAGCAGAAAACATCCCAAGGCCATCGATGGGTCTTCAACGCAGCAAGAAAATATCGCACCTAGAGGCAGGCTTCAGCTGGCCCCTAAACAATAATATATACTAGTTCAGTTAAATGGACGCCACACTATCAGAGATCTACCACCAAATTCTACAAATAACAAAATAAAAAGAGATATGACAAAAGACAACCATTGACAAGGTTCCCAACTTATGACAAACACATAAAGATATTGTGAGGTTTTCATGATTTTCTTAACTTTACCACAATTTTGAATTATGTTGTGAATGAGGAGTGTTGATGTATTCTCATACAGATAACAGCAATATAAAAATAACTTTAGTATTAGATTAACACCTTGATTTAGATATTTGCTGTAATAAAGGCAGAATGTGCCAACTTTTGTTGCAGAGTTAATCATAGAGCACATTGTCATTATTCATTTCCAGCAATATCTTTATGAATAAAGAGGAGAATAAACAACTTTTATTTAAAAAAAATAGAAATGAAATTTTTCTTTTAATTTACCTTTTAAAATAGATATAAAATATATAAATGTAAATATAAAATTAAGAAATGCTTCTTATTTTTCCAGACTGTATTAAGCAGGTCAAAACTAGTTAAAATTCTGTTTTAAAATATTCCAAATTTTCAGATCTGTTTTAAAAATGAGGTTTGCATTGATAGTTATTTAGCAATTTGATCTCAATTTATGAAAGTCAAACAAGTTTGATGTGACCTAGTTCTCCATGTTATGTTTTTTCATTACAAATTTCCTGACAGGATATTAAATGTGACGTGCTGTAAACTATGCAAATAACTTTTCTTTAAAACTGATTTTTATATTAATTTTGTATTCTAGGACTTTTTAGGAAGACTCGAGTGCACCTTAGGAGAAATTGTGGGGCTCGGAGGAAAGATTGAAAAAAAATTAGAGTAAGTTGACATTTTACAAAAATTCAAGTCTTCACTTTACATGTTTTTGTGTCTGGTACATTTTTAGTATAAGGATTTAGAAACACAATTTAAAATCTACAGGGGAAAGGAACGTTATTAATTCCACACAAAAAAAGAAATCATGAGAATTGCTTACAAAATGTTAAGACTTGGACTTCTTTGAAATCTTAAACTTAAGTCTAGTTTTTCTCATAAGATTTAAGTCAAAATATAATAATCTCAGACTTGAAGATTCATTTTAACTGAAATTTTATTTCTTACAGTGTAGGCAGATTTATTGTAAATAAGGGTCTGTTTTGATAAGTGCACAGTTTACAGTTCATATTTGGTCTGTCAGTTTCTACAAAAATCTTTGAGCATAATCCCACTTAGTGCATCATGTGTCTCACCTTTTTATTTTAGAGGTATTAAAGGATTGGGACAAATTACAGGTAAGAAATATCTGTATTTGATGAGATAGGCCTGTGTTAAGGAAGATGTATTAAACAGTTTCAACAATGTTTTTCAAGCATTCGTGTGATAAAGAATAAAAAATGATAATTGTTACTAAGTAGCTTAAAATATATTTAATGCATAACTTAAATTATCTACAGAAATAGTATTTCTTCTGAAAAACTTTATTGTTGAAAAGAACTATTGATTATATGTTGCTTAAACATCCAGTCACAAATATTTCATGTATTTGCATAGTGTCAACAAGAGTAACAGTATATCACATTTATACTAAATTGATGAGTTTTGTTTACACTTTTAACTGAACTGAAAGAGTAGGTAGAGTGTGTAACTTCAGTAAAGTCAACTTTTGTAGTCTGGACAATGTGAATTTAGACTTTTCCCTGTTTTAAAGATTACAAAAATTTAAAAAGGTCTTCTGGACTCATTGAGCTTGACATTCTCTAAAAACTAACCACTATTTGCCTTCAGATTTATTGTAGTTAAACCTGACAATTTCGGTATAGCATTTTCTATTCACAACCCGGGAATGCACTGAGGACAAGGAATATTGGTTTCAGCATTACACAGTCTATTCTTTATATGTTCAAGTATTATAAATTTTAAAATCTCTGAGTAATCACACATGAATAATCAGCAATGAATACATAAATGTGCACTCATAATATAATTTATGTTCTAATTTCAGTTAGAGCAGAAGAGGTCAGCTCCTGCAAGGTAAATTATTTTGAGGTCATCTGAATGAATATGAAACTAAGTGTTTTACAAATTTGACAGAAATTATATATCTTCCACTTGTTCTTAAATATTTAAAAAAGAAATTATCCACTTGCACCTTCTGTAGATATATTTCTTATTTCTCCAAAATTTACAGAGTTTGTGTGGTGGTCTTATTTGTTATTATATTTTGTTTATTTGCTACAGACTTAGGTTTACTCCATAAGTTCTTATATTCATATCAATCTTAGGATTTATGTAAAAAATATAGATTCTTGATTTAAAGTCACTAAAACACATAAATGGATTGATACTGAAATACACAAATGTTTTGTTGTTATTGATAGGAATCAGCAACATTACATTTTAATGCTACCAAGTTGGACAAGAAAGATTTTCTTGGAAAGTCTGATCCATTCCTGATTTTTTACAAGGCAAATGAAGATAACAGGTAAATATTAATTGAGACTTCACACCTGTATGTTTTGAACTGCCATGGCTAAAATCTATTAAAGTTGAATCCCTCCTTAAATACGGTAATATTTGTTCCAAATACTGTATAAATATTTGTTCCAGTGGAAATAATATTACAGAGTATTTTTTCCACTTGGAACTTATATTATGACGGAACTTCTGTTTCGTAACACTGGAAGATTATGCTACAAATATTTTACATTTGTATCAAGAAAAAATAGCAAAAAAATTACCTCATAAAGAGAAACCCCTCCCCAAAATAACTTTACCAAACATGACATACATTTTATATATAACAAAAACTTATGAAAGTACTTGATTTTGTCAACTTCTTTTATAAAATATGATTTTTTTTTTAATGTTTCCTTATTAAAACATTATATGTATGACATATCATTTATGCAACTGTAGATTTTGAGTACTGTTCTCTTTTTTAACAACTATAGATGGCATTTATTTAAAGATTCCAGGAACAAATTAGTTTCTGAAAATCTCAATACTTTAATATCAGATATAAATATGCATCTTCAGATTTTAATCAATTGTTTATCTAAATACATTTACAAACAGATGTTTGAGACAGCAACCTATTAAAACATTAAACTTTAAATGATATCTAGAAGTCAAATTTCAATATTTATACAAAGATAAAAATCGGTGCCATTTGTAAATCTGCAAAATGGCCAGAGATTGAACAAGTTTTGAAAAAAAGAACAAAAACACTGTCTTACACCTAAATAACCACTGACAAGGCTTCTGACTTACAACCTTTTTGTGTTTTCAGCTTGTCGATTCATTGTAAATATATATATTCAAACTAAAAATTTCTGTACTAATTTTTATCTTTGCTCATACATGTATAGGTATACCAAGCTAATATTTCAATACAAGTTAACATTTCTTTCTATGTGTTTATGTTTTTTGTTAACATTGTAGCTATTTCTCATATGTGAGCAGTCCATATACATTGCTGGCTATTGTTTTATAAGTCTGAATGATTTACATTTCTCAAAGCTTTATTATGTCAGAAGAATTTTTTAAATACCAAGACAAGCAAACATTTATTTCTTTTTCTTAACAGTTGAATGGCGCTTTAAGTATTTCATTAATTGCTGATGCTTTCATAAACTTTGATATTGAATGTTTTTTTTATCAATTTCAGAACAGGGTAACAATTTTATTGTAGTCCTTGCACTGTTTCACCTTACCTCAAACTTTCAAATTCAATTATATTATCATCATTATATATTCTGATTTTTAATGGATTTTTAATGAGTAAAAGCTTTCACTTGACAAATGTACTTGCACCCAATATTTCCATCAGACTTATATAGTTAATTATGTCTATGCTAGCAATTTGTAGAACTAGGTAATATCTGTGCTATCTACACAATGTGCATAAAACAAACACTGCAGATTCTTGAAGTCTTGACTAGGATGTCTAGAATAGCATACATCATATACACTTCAGACTAAAACTAAGATGAATAAAACAAAATCACATTTATTTTTCATGCCATTGTTAATGCTTTATGCATTGAAATCTGGTAAAGTTCCAACAATTAATTTGAATAACTGCATTTTTGATTGAAATTTAATTTTTTTACATGTATATTCAATATGACGATAGACTGTCAATTTAGAAATGTTTGCATGCATTTCTCCGTGTATTATGGGTTTTCGTGCTATTTAGAATGCATTTTGACGTCACAACTTCCATTGAAAAATCATGCATAGTATGAATTCATATGACATACGAAAAAATATGATCTGACCATATTTTTGAGATTGTTGAACAAGACAAAAAAAAATGAAGATTAATTATAACGATTTCAGGAAATGCTGCATACAAAAATTGACATCAAGTTTTAAAATAAAGTTTTTAATTTTGCAAAACCTATCCCGTAGCAATTTTTGCACTAAACATTGCAAAACTTGCCATGTTTGATGATTGACAATTCCATGTAGTAGGGAATAGAACTGATTTGACTGAAGTGTGCATAAAGGGCCAAAACATAAACAAGTTTTATAGATTATAAATTGTGATTGAATGCTCTGTCAATTTTAAACATGGATGATATGAAATTGTGATTTATTGCAGTTACACAGCTGTGCATAAAACAGAAGTGATAAAAAATACCCTAAATCCAACATGGCGACCTTTCTCAATACCATTGCGGACATTATGTAATGGAGATTATGACAGGTAAAAATTTCTTTATATGTTATATGTTTAAATAAGTTGTAAAAAATATTTATTCTTTTTCAATCAAATATTGCCATGCAAGTTCTTTCTTCTAAATATTGCTTGGCAAGTTCAACTTTTTTATTATGGGAATGGGGAGGAAAAGACCGATTGTATCAATACTAACCGGTTTTGATAAAAAATTCATTTCTATTTTTAGATCTATCAAAGTTGAATGTTATGACTGGGACAGTGATGGCAGGTAAGAGATTGATTTTGTCATTCAGATGGTCACACAGTAATTTTACATTCTATCATCATAGCTCAAATTTTCCTTAAGCTTGAACAAATTATGTTCATATATATCCCTATATGAAAAAAAATTTTGCCGATAAAATATAAACTTTATTACTCTATTGTGTTACTGATGGTGTTGATATGGTCAGTTTAAAAAAAAAACAATTGAAGGATTGAAGCAACTGTTTTTATCAAACAGATTTTTCTCTGAGTGTTAATGACTTCTTTTCACTAAATCCATAGTATGTTGGATGTGTACTGATTGATATTTTAGTCTTAGATACATGATTTATTTTATTAGTTGTTATTTGCTTTGAACTAGCTGTCAGTAACTGCGAGTATTCTCAGATCTGTACTTAATGTCTTTTTTGTTGTTAGGGATGAGAGATGGATAAATACCCTGCCACATCCAGTCTGTGCTTTTGTTGGATGTTTTTCTGCTTTGTATCAATCTGATGCGTTAAGCCTTTTTCAACTGATTTTTATAGTTTGTTCTTATGTTGTGCTGTTTCACCCCTGTCCCAGGTTAGGTGAGGGTTGAGTGCTCACAAACATGTTTAACCCTGCCACATTCTTATGTGCCTGTCCTAAGTCAGGAGCCTGTAATTCAGTGGTTGTCATTGGTTCATGTCTGTCATATTTGTTTTTCGTAAATTGTTTTGTTATGATTTTAGGTTAGTTTTCTCAGTTGAATTGTTTCATATTTTTCATGTCGGGGCCATTTATAGCCGACTAGACAGTATGGGTTTTTCTCATTGAACAGTTGATTATCTGTTTTAAAAATATTTAACCATTCAAATTTTAGCTATTTATTATAGCTTTTTGAAATAAAAGGAATCAATGTTATCAAGGATAAAATAAATTTTCTCATAGATGGTAAAATGTAACTGAAAATTTGTACATAAGATTTGATTTATGATTAGCTCGTAGTTTCTTCAAAAAAGATATTTGTGAAAATTTCACATAGCTTCCACTGTGGATAACATGATTACATACTTTTCAGCAGCCATGATTTAATAGGAATTTTCTCAACAAATATGACACAGTTAAAGAAAGGACAATGTCCTGATAATGATTATGATGTAAGTATATAGGTTTTTTTACAAGACTACCAATATTACATGTATGACTTATTGTTTTATTTTCAAGTATCTGAATTATATATTTGGATATCACATTAGAATTGTATGATAATGTTGTCTATAAAGCTTATATTTTGCTACATTCCATTGAAACTTATTGGCCTTATTAGTAAACTTATATCACAAGTATATGTAGAAAATGTAAGATTTTTCTCAGTCAATGCAAGTATTGAATTTATTATCAGTGGTATTCAACTGTGGATTCATTATTATTCGTGGTATACTCATTTTTCATGGATTTTGTGGGTACAGGTTAACCACGAATTTAAAAGTTGCTCTGAAGCCTTCATTTCTCTAAGATATTTTAATTAAAAGTCTTATAGAACAAAAAAAAAGTGCTTTTTTTTAGTTATAGCCCTTGTACCTTGGATAGATAAAATATGTGTCACGCGGGGGACAAACGAAGTACTGATTTTCTATATGCTTGTATTAAGCTGAACTTGAGTAAAACCACAAAATCAAATATCCACGAAAATACAAGTTTCCCTTAAATCAACGAAAATTTGTACCAATGGAAATAAATGAAAACACAGTACATAATTTAACATATGCTATTCCATTTCTATGCTTTTGGTGAAGATTTATCTAAGTAACATGATATTTATCCTTTCATATAAAAAGAAGATGTGGTATGATAGCCATTGAGACAACTTTCCACAAGAGACCAAAGAAATAGAACATTAATATAATGGAATATGTAGACAGCTCTCTCACAAGCAAAAAATCCTAACTGTAAAAATATAAGGGCATACACTACAGGCACGGGGACACATTCTACTGCATCCACAAAGCACGAGTAACAAACCCTGAAGTAAATATAAAAAGAAGATGTGGTATGATTGTCAATGAGACAACTTTCATAGCTGTTTGTTGATATTGTTTTCACAAATCTGCTAAAAAAGTGAAAATAATTACTTTTGCTTCATTTTAAACATTTTATAGATGTATGCTGATCATTTTATATTATTGATAAGCAAAATATTTTTCAAATTAAACTGCTTAATTAAAGTTTTAATCTTTGTTATTTCAGTGTATTAATCCCAAGAAAAAGGCTAAGAAAAAAGGATATAAGAATTCAGGACAGGTACAATAACTTAATGATGTAAATGTGGTGTTTTGGAACTTAAAAATTATATATATCAGCTAAGAAATGATTTACCCAGAAGTTAGTGCCTACTAAATCAGGTCCCATTTGATGACCTTACATCAATTTTTGCTTAAACTTAAATCTGTTAGAATTTATTTTAAAATGTTTATTTCCTTTTCTGGGTAAAAGATAAGTACTTATTGAATCTAGCTACTTTCGGTAAATTGGAGTAAAAATTATGTTGTATTATGGGAAAATTACATTGTAAGTAGTTTAGGAAGCTTCGACTGTGCAACATAATTTACGAGGACAGAAGTTGATTTTTTTCTATATGTCCATTGTATTGAAAGAATGAGAAGAAAAATTTTCTTTTTATGGTCTTTTGCTTATTTTTGTTGTTGAGTTGCTGTCTTATTGACTTATTAATCTCCTTTTATTCATAACAACTAACTGCTTTAAAAGATAAGAATTTGGGTTACATGGTTTGTTTTTCCATTTTTCTCATGTCAATGTTTTTATTATCTCTTTTAGGTACATTTACTCAGTTGCAAGATAGAACAAAATCCAACATTCCTTGATTATGTGAAAGGAGGGTAGGTTTTTAAGAGCCACTATATTCCATGAATATTCCAAAGTATATATTTTGTAAGATTTTGTTCAGTGTAAGAAAACCAAGGAACAAAAGGGCAAAAGAAATTAGGTCAAGTGTTGGTAATGGTGCTTAAGTAAAAAAGATAGAAATATGGTCAAAGGTCAACCAAATGTAACCAAGAATACACATGTAATGGTCAATCCAGCTATACAGTGCACTGAAATTACATGTGAAGTGGCGAACCCAAAAAGACATTGTAACAAAATTAAAATTTAAAAAAGAACATGTTGAGGTGACGTTACATTTTAATGGTTAGTGGGTGCTCACCAAATACAGTTTACATCGAATCTTGCAGAGTTTTCACATGTTCTAAAAAAAAAATTCAACAGAAGTATAAAAACAAACACAAAATGCTAATCATAGTAATATACAAAGATACATTGGCTTTTGTTTATTGAGAGATGCATGTTTGTAGTGTCGTTTAACTACTTTTGTCATTACTCATACCTTTAGCTTCGTTATTATTTGGTGGTAAAATTCATGAAATAGGAAAACACTTTTACATTGACGTTTTGTGAATACAAGCCTTCCAAATATGTGCTGATTATTGACATACAATGTAAAGTGCACACTTTGAAGGTATGGCCATTAAAATCAGTCTACAAGAAGACATTTTATTATTATACTTCCAATGTAGGAGTGGGGCTATATTGCATTCACCTTGTCCCATTTGTCAGTAAATATTTCAGTCACACTTTTCTCTGGTACTGCTGAACAAAATGATTTCATATTTGTTTTTTTTTTTTGAGTTTTTAAATATGTTGAATGAACCTACAATTTTCCATCACACTTTTCTCAAATATTACTGAACAGAATTACTTCATATTTAGTCAGCCAGTTGACAGTTTTGAGCTGTAAGCACTTTTCATATCTGACAGACCTTGTCTTACTGTTTAATTATACTTTGAATTACGAGTGAGGGTATGCTAAGCACAACATTGCATGTATTGTTGTTTATTTTAAATGCTGCAGAAATGAACAACTTGATTATATCATTTGAAGGCTTATTGTTTAAGCCTTATCCATATAATGTAAGAAACTACTTGAACATTGGCACTCATACCACATCTTCTTATTTATATTGAAGCTTTTATTTCCTATCAATATATTTTACATGTTGATCATTTTTCAATTTTTTGATAAAATGGTTATAGAAATGTTTGTATGAAAGACATTTATTTATTAAATATGTTATGATCTTTTTGTTGTATGCTATGAATTTTTTATCATTCCAGAACATCATTAAATTTTACAGTTGCAATAGATTTCACAGCATCTAATGGTAATCCATCTCAGTCAACTTCATTACATTATCTTAATCCATATCAACCAAATCAATACTCGGCAGCCATTCAGGCTGTAGGGGAGATAATTCAGGATTATGACAGGTAAATACATTACACTTGATCTTTTGAACCATTCAAATAATTAAAAAAATGTACTTGTTTTGTAGTTTATAGCTTATATTTACTTGAAAAAGTAATGCAAAAATTTTAAACTTTTTTCATCACTCCAAGAAAACCTTATCTTTCAAATGAAGGAAGTTCAAAATTAATCCTTACACTCAGATATTAAAGTCACAAGATAAATGGTTGTTTCTAGTTATTTTTTCACCCAAAAAATTCTAAGATTACAAGCACACTTTCACCAAAAAAATTCTAAGATTACAAGCACACTTTCACCAAAAAAATTCTAAGATTACAAGCACACTTTCACCAAAAAAATTCTAAGATTACAAGCACACTTTCACCAAAAAAATTCTAAGATTACAAGCACACTATCTATATGACATAAAAAAAAGCAAGTAATAAATATTTTCATAAGAGAATAATAAAAAATATTATGATATAATGTTGAAGCAGATCAAGAAGAAATGTAAATACTCAAATGAAATATATTTATGTTTTCAGTGATAAGCAATTTCCTGTGTTAGGATTTGGTGCAAAACTCCCTGATGGATCAGTATCACATGAGTTTCCATTGGTTAGTTTTTTATTTATCTTTTTTAAAATAACGGAAACAAAATTATCTGTAAATAAGAGTGAATCCTTCTGAATGTACCATTGTAGGATCTGATCTTTTCCAACATCAAACTATCTGAAGTGAATTGATTAAAGGTTATACTGCTTGTACTGTGTAGATGCAGTAGAATTTAAACATTAAAAAAATAATAAGATGTGGTATAATTGCTATATAGTTAGCTATAATAGGCCCTTAAATGATAAATGTAAAACAATTCAAACGAGAAAACTAATGGCCTGATTTATTTAAAAAATGATGAACAAAAATACAAATATGATATCGGCAACAAACGACAACCACTGAATTACAGGCTCCTGACTTTCTCACTTTTGTAGTAGGATTTTCTTATTCATTTTGATTTTATTTTCAGACATTTAACCCCCAGAACCCTTATTGTGCTGGACTTCAGGGAATACTATCAGCTTACTACAATGCTCTACAAAAAGTGCAATTATATGGACCAACTAATTTTTCTCCAGTCATTAATCATGTAGCAAGGTAGGTTTGAATCATCTGGTAATGATATAGCTATAGATTACACATGATACAGATTACCTATTGCATGTGCCATTTTGTGGCATAAGTTACAGATAAAAACCCTCTGAAAATGTAACTAAAAGGAGGTAAACATTATTGAGACTTCTGAAATGTGACTAAAAGGGGATGTGGAGTAAACATTATTGAGACTTCTGAAATGTGACTAAAAGGGGATGTGGAGTAAACATTATTGAGACTTCTGAAATGTGACTAAAAGGGGATGTGGAGTAAACATTATTGAGACTTCTGAAATGTGACTAAAAGGGGATTTGGAGTAAACACTATTGAGACTTCTGAAATGTGACTAAAAGGGGATGTGGAGTAAACATTATTGAGACTTCTGAAATGTGACTAAAAGGGGATGTGGAGTAAAACTTATTGAGACTTCTGAAATGTGACTAAAAGGGGATGTGGAGTAAACATTATTGAGACTTCTGAAATGTGACTAAAAGGGGATGTGGAGTAAACATTATTGAGACTTCTGAAATGTGACTAAAAGGGGATGTGGAGTAAACATTATTGAGACTTCTGAAATGTGACTAAAAGGGGATGTGAAGTAAACATTATTGAGACTTCTGAAATGTGACTAAAAGGGGATTTGGAGTAAACATTATTGAGACTTCTGAAATGTGACTAAAAGGGGATGTGGAGTAAACATTATTGAGACTTCTGAAATGTGACTAAAAGGGGATGTGGAGTAAACATTATTGAGACTTCTGAAATGTGACTAAAAGGGGATGTGGAGTAAACATTATTGAGACTTCTGAAATGTGACTAAAAGGGGATGTGGAGTAAACATTATTGAGACTTCTGAAATGTGACTAAAAGGGGATTTGGAGTAAACATTATTGAGACCACAATGCTACTACAAAAATGAGCAAAAGACATGTAGAAGCAAATCTATATAAGTTTTGAATGAACTAAATAAAAACAATTGCAGATCTTTGTTCTTGCACTGCTTGTCTCATTAAAAAAGTTTTATGAATATTTTCAATCTAGACAAACAATATAAAGATATTTACAGTGTCAGAAATCTAATATTTTTATATTGCCGAGATGGTCTGTATCAGGTTTCAGTGTGGATTGGTAGCGTTTAGAATTGTGTAGCCTATGTAAATGACTTCAAACCAAAAACCATGTTGCAAAATTTGAAAATGTTTTAGACATTCATTTACATTGTCCATAATAAAGTCTATTTCCTGTTTTCTTTCTTGAAGGTTTGCTGAGACCAACAGAGATGGTAGTAATTACTTTGTATTGTTGATCCTAACAGATGGAGTCATAACAGATTTGCATAATACTATAGAATCAATTGTTAAGGTAATAATAATCAGCTCTATGTTTTAAATCCTGTGGCTTAGGGAACATTTAGAGCGCATTCAGATTAAACTTTTTTTTCATATTGCTGGCTTTTTATGCCCCTGCAACTGAAAGTTGGCGGGCATATTTTTTAACCCCTGTCCGTCCTTCCGTCTGTCCCATTATGGGTATAAAGTTATTCCAGATAACTCCTCCTACAGTTTGAATACTAGGAAGTTTTTACTTTGCTGGCTGTTTGTACATATATTGAAGGTGTGCATGTGGCCAGGGTTTTGATTTTTATTAATATTTGTTCTTTTGAGAGATAGTTGAACTTTGTCATTTTTTGGAGTATTTACTTGCATAAGAGATGCATAGCTTTTCCGGAAATAACTCCTCCTACAGTGAACCATAGACCTATGTGCTCCCATGCTCAACTTTGTGTATTTTAGAATAACACTTTGCATTTGATGGAGCATTATTTGTGTCTCCCAGACACAATAATATCTCAAAGAAAGTCCTACATTGACTTTGTTATAATACAGTTACTTCAGAGTGGAGTGCGGGGGCATCACTTTGTCTAGTTTTATTTGATTTTGCATATGTATCTCTATGATATATAGTGCTGCCTATTTCAATAATGATTTATTTTCATAGCTATTCTGTTATGAAAATATGAGGTCAATTTTCTACTGAAAATGGAAGCATTTTATTGTGTAAACCATTTTACCAGTAAAGAGGAATTTGGTGGTGAAATTGCCAGAGTACTCTTCTTTTAAGTATGAGATGTTAATTGATTATTGGAAGGGATATGTGTTACACATTAGAGAATATGGATTTTACCTTTTCCTCAATATATCTATAACAGCTTTTAATCAGTAACATTATTATACAAAACTTTCATAAATTAAACTGACATACTGTGTGGATTCATTTATTTTCGTGGATACTAATTTCCCATGATTTATGAAAAATTGTAGTTCAGTGGGTATATATATGAATTTGTGGTTTTGTCTAAATCTGCATACAATCCTATAGAAAATTTGTGCTTCGTTGAACATTTAAATTCGTGGTTTACCAATACCCACTAAATCCATGAAAACTGGTATCCCGCGAATAATAATGAATCTACAGAAAGTAAAGTTGTTTATCTATCGTTTTATTATCTGAATAATCGCATGACTGGTGATCCCATCAGAGCAAAAAATGGAATCTGCACATTCTTCTGGTATTGAAACAAACATTTTGGTTCAAGGTCTAAAACTTCTATGAAACCTAACGCGTGAATTCAATTGATATTTAGAAATTACTACAAGTAATATTTTAATTTCAGGCTTCAAATCTTCCATTGTCTATTATCATCATAGGAGTGGGTGATGCAGAATTTGATGGTAAGATTTTGTATTGCCTGATCCACTCTTGCAAATAAATGTAATGTAGTATGACTTATGCAGCACAGTCACTGACAAAATTTATGCTTTCACACTAGGAAAAATTAAAAAAAAATGAGAAAGTTTACAATATCATTCATATAGTAGTAGAAACTTTATTTGGTGCAGAAGGTGTGAAAAAAGATACGATGAAGAAAAGATGTGAGGTATACATCTATGAGACAGCAATCCCAATGACACAAATAACCAAAAAAATCTTAGAGGGGGACTTATAACCCTCAACGAAAGATGGGCATCAGTGCAGTATGTCAACCTCTAAACCATCTCAAGTCTATAAAAGTTTTCAATAAATTAAGAGGAAACAAAGATCTGCCATTTTTAACACTGAATCCCTCAGAATGATTATTTTTTACATTTTTTTAAAACACAAAAAACAGGACTTTTGATTGGTTTTACTATTTCAGTTGTTCATGCTTAGAATTAATATGGAGGACAACTGTCTCTCAAAAAGATATTTGAACAGTTGGTTATTTTGTGTTGTGATATGTATTATAAAATTTGACAAATCATGCTTATGACCAAGGATCTGGAAATTTTTTCACACAATTTCGGTCATTTTGAGATGTCTTAAAAGTTGGTGCCCTTTTTCAAATTGTCCATATCCAATGGTCACTAGATGTTTAGCATCAACGAACTTGTATTGGCTGTTTCATCACATTTACTTCGTGAATTTTCTTACCATTTTACTCAAAAAGTTCAAGAACAGTTTGGGAAGGCAACAGTTTAAATTTGAAATGATTTTAATGACTCAAAATGGTTAATTTCTCAGACATCGCTAATGTTTCTTTTGATTTTAGACGAAATTTAAACCGGAAGTTTTGCGACAATTCTAAAGTACGATTAATTCCAGATTCATTTCCGGGATTTGTTTTGTTTATCAAATTGACAGGGTTTTATTACCTTTGAAAGTGTTTGAATACAATAGATATTAGTTGCACTAGTTTAATTAAGCATGCAATCATTTTTGCATTTAACGATTAAGTGTCCTATCTGTTGAAGACAATATCACGCATGCGTATTACATAGTAAATAAAGCACATGTGTTACTCGTGAAAAATTACTTTTTTCTAAGTAAATTAAATTAAGTTTTAATTTTCAAATCAGAATTATTGATTGTCTTTGCTGAAAAGTAATTAAATAATGAATACAGTTGTCATGGAATTTTAATTTCTTTATGATATTAGTTCTGAGATTGTGATCATTGTGAGGTGTGAATTAAAAACACAGGAAAAAAGTGATTAGTGATCATTAGCCAATATTTCCCGGAGGCATGATATAGTTATTAGGAGGGCCCTCAGGATTATCAAACTATACTGGAGTGGCAGTTTTATTACAGGAAAGGGATTTTAAAACAAAAACAAGTGCAAAATGGCGATTAAGAAACCTGATCTCAAATGAAATAACCGAAATTATTTCTGTAAAAAAATTAAATTTGTCCTAAATCCCAATTTTTCGTTTAGGACAAATAGCTTGCAGCTTAGGACATGACTGGCAAATATGACCGTTTCCGGACCCTTGCTTATGACGTCACATTGAATACGTCACAGTCAAATTGTGTCATCAAGTCTTGGCTAATAATCACATTTTCTTGAAGCCTGATAAGTAATGAGATCCAGCGATATTTATTTTTTTGTGAAATTACAGGGCCAAAAAAGCCCCAAAATGTACTTTAATTGTCCTTCGAGAAAAATGACTTAATTTTTTTTCTTGAAATAATATAAACATTTGAAAATTGTTCTTTTTGCTTCAGCTATGGATGTATTAGATGCAGACAATCAAAGACTATGTTCTAGTGGAAGATATGCAGTCAGAGACATTGTTCAGGTAATTAAACACACACTTTGTGATGAGACATTGTTCAGGTAATTAAACACACACTTTGTGATGAGACATTATTCAGGTGATTAAACACACACTTTGTGATGAGACATTGTTCAGGTAATTTTACACACACTTTGTGATGAGACATTGTTCTTGTAATTAAACACATACTTTGTGATGAGACATTGTTCAGATAATTAAACACAAACTTTGTGATGAGACATTGTTCAGGTAATTAAACACATACTTTGTGATGAGACATTGTTCAGATAATTAAACACATACTTTGTGATGAGACATTGTTCAGGTAATTAAACACATACTTTGTGATGAGACATTGTTCAGGTAATTAAACACACACTTTGTGATAAGACATTGTTCAGGTAATTTAACACACACTTTGTGATGAGGCATTGTTCAGGTAATTAAACACACACTTTGTGATGAGACATTGTTCAGGTAATTTAACACACACTTTGTCAGGATTTTCATTTATTATGTTATGTCATGGAAAAAGGTCCTTCTACACATTTTTGTGAAAAATATATAGGTTTCAGTCAATATTTTGATAGTTTTTGGATCTTCAAATATAGAGCACATGCAAGAACCAACTAAATAATTTACCATAATGTCTATATGTACAACACTTTTTATGTAAATATTTTTTTGTGGTTCTTGCACATGTTGCAGGTGCTCAATATTTCCCACACACAAATATGTGTGCAAATTTTGTTAATTTTTGGAAGAAAAATTGAAATTATGCTTTCTTTTGACCATCAGATCCTTGAATATTCATAATTGTTCAAGGATCATACTTAATACTTTGTACATACTTATCAATTATATTAAAAAAAAATCACCTTTGTAAGTTTTCTAGGCCAAATTGGGCCCTTAGCAAACCTCTTCTTTACTTTTTCATAACATTTATATGATTTCTTAGGATATATTAAGCATGCTCATTGTTGTTCTTTCATTTGTTTAATAAATTACAAATATTTTTTTCAGTTTGTTCCATTTAGAGATTTTCTTGGTGGGAAGTTTGGTAGTAATATGAATATATCACAAGCAGCATTAGCTAAAGAAGTACTGGCAGAAATACCTGATCAAGTGATTCAATATATGAAAGCTCATGGTGTCAAACCAAAACCAGCAAAATCAGACATTCAACTTCCAGGACAGCAATCTAATGTTCCTAGTCAACCTCCACCTTCATTTCAACAATCTCAAGGTCAACCTGGGTACCCTCAAGGTCAAGGACAGGCAATGCCACAAGCTGGCTATCCTGGTCAAGCAAGCTTTCATGGAAGGCCTCCGCACGGAGGTGGACCACCTTATCCTGGAGGTCAGAGTGGAGCTCCTCCCTATCCACAAAGTACACCTTCTGCAAACACACAACAAAGTGGAGCACCATCAGGTAGTGCTCCACCCTACCCGCAAGGCCAAGGATTACCACCAGGTAGACCTCCTCCACCACAAGTAGGGTCACAGCAAAGTGGTGCACCTCCATATCCTTCACAGGGTCAAACTGGCACACAGCAAAGTGGTGCACCACCATATCCTTCACAGGGTCAAACTGGCATGCCATCAGCGCCACCTCCATAGAAGACAGTTAAAATCAGAATCTTTTTGAACAAAACTACAGTATACAAATGAATGGAAATTTAAAGTTTTAAAATGTCTGTAATGGTATATGAATGTATTTTGTGCTTTCATTTTTATATGACCGCAAAATTTGTCATATATTGGTATCACCTCGTCGTCGTCGTCAGCATCTTCCGAAGACAGTTGGTTTCCGGACAATAACTTTAGTATAATTAAATAGAAATCTATGAAATTTAAACACAAGGTTTATAACCACAAAAGGAAGGTTGGGATTGATTTTGGGGGTTATGGTCCTAACAGATTAGGAATTAGGGGCCAAAAAGGTACCCAAATAATTTTTTTGAGCTGAAAGGGGTGATTTTAAAAAGAAAAAATAACACTGGGTATTTTTTAGTGAAATAATAATGAAAATGATGACGTTCTACATTTCAATCCTGGTGTTGTCAAGTTGTGATGGTCGTCTCTTATATCAATGTCATACAGAAGCTTGTATAAAGAAAAAAATGTCTGACTACCTGTAGCTAAGAAATGGCTGGATCACAGCACCGATGATTCTTTGATTTTTATTAAGTTCAGCTTTCTTTAAACCAGATCAAACGATTTTGACCTTATATACTTAGGACAAAACAACTGTGATACCTTAAAATCTCTGAGACTGCTGGAACTGTATATGTATGTTTTATTAGATATTTTTATATTTTGTTATGCTTAAAAAAGAATAGTTTGCATTTATTGCCTATGTTAGAAATAAGGGTACTAGACATCAGAGGTGATTTCATAGATTTGAAATTCAGATTTATTAACTTTAAGTGACCTCATTAGATCAACAGATACAACAGTATTTCTGAAATTCCATACTTATTATTTGTGTTTAAACTAAAATTATTTGCATGTGTATTTAATTAAGCATTTACATTTAACCTAATTTTTAATTTTGTGATTTTTGTTAATTTATTTTGTTATAACTAAATCATTCATGTGTAATCAACTATTCATACTTTTATAATATACAATTTATTTTATATTAAGCTGCATAAAAGTTACAAATGTGCAATAGATGAGCTTCATTCTCAAACATGTAGACTATAAATATCTGCTATTGTCAGTATGGTCATATAAGTGTTTTATCTGTTATACATGTGCCTATTTTTATGAACAAAATTGTGAAATTTTTGTTGAAGCTAAGACTTCTTTGTATATTTTAGATCAGAAACAAATATTTGATTTCAATTTCAGAAACCAAATTTCTTTGTTGTTTTTACAGAATCTCTGCTTTTTAGACCTGGCTTTTCTGTCATAAAATTTTGACTCAGTTCTCAAAGCACAAAATGTGTGCTCAAAACATTGAATCCAGTATTTTGATTGGTTGATTTCTGAGTCTCAGTACAAAAAAAGTACTGCCAAATTGTATGACTGTAAGGCCTGGAAAGCAAAAGTAATGGATATTGGTATGTTATATTACTGTATATGTACTGAACTAAAATAGAAACATTTTTATATGATTCCATAATAAAACATATGCTTATTTATTTTTTGAATTTCTTGATATTCAAAAAGATTTGATACATTTATCATAAACTATAAATTTAAATAGGAACGACAAGATACATACATGTATTTGGAATAAATACATACATGTATTGGAAAGTTTTCAATATAGTTACTTATGGTATGACATTTTAGGCTGAATCTTACCCTATGCTAATGTCTACTGTCCATTTAAATGGTATGGCATTTTAGGCTGAATCTTACCCTATGCTAATGTTTTACTGTCCATTTAAATGGTATGACATTTTAGGCTGAATCTTACCCTATGCTAATGTTTTACTGTCCATTTAAATGGTATGGCATTTTAGGCTGAATCTTACCCTATGCTAATGTCTACTGTCCATTTAAATGGTATGGCATTTTAGGCTGAATCTTACCCTATGCTAATGTCTACTGTCCATTTAAATGGTATGGCATTTTAGGCTGAATCTTACCCTATGCTAATGTCTACTGTCCATTTAAATGGTATGGCATTTTAGGCTGAATCTTACCCTATGCTAATGTCTACTGTCCATTTAAATGGTATAGCATTTTAGGCTGAATCTTACCCTATGCTAATGTTTCACTGTCCATTTAAATGGTATGGCATTTTAGGCTGAATCTTACCCTATGCTAATGTTTCACTGTCCATTTAAATGGTATGGCATTTTAGGCTGAATCTTACCCTATGGTAATGCCTACTGTCCATTTAAATGGTATGGCATTTTAGGCTGAATCTTACCATATGGTAATGTTTCACTGTCCATTTAAATGTTCAAGACTGTAAGATGCAAACCATGAATACAGCAAAGATTTCACTTCTAAAGCTTCAACTGTGAACAAAACCTAACATGAAAATAACCCAATAAATGGTATAATCTGTCAGTTATAGAGAATATGAACTTCTGGAAACGCTTCTTCTTTTCTTCAGTGTATCTTACATTTACATACATGTATCTATAAGTTTTTCTATGCTTTTGTATTAAATAATGATATCTTATACATTTTAATTGTTATTAATGTTATTATATATATATTTAAAATATATGAATAAATACATTTAGTGAAGATCGTTTCTGTTTTACAAGTAGTAGCTATATATATACATATATGACCTAATTCAATTGTCAGTATACAAGGCCCAAAGGCCCATTGTGATCTACAGTAAGATGTAACAATACAGGTTTAATAGATAACAAGAGGCTGTCAAGTGACAGCAAACCAGATTTTCCTGCAGAGGTCGAACCCTGAACAGTTGAGAAAGTATGGACACAACATTTAAGCTTAAAACAGCTCTGAATTTGGATTGTGATTGAATATTTAAAATAGATTATTATCTAGTTAATAATGAATATGATATCTGCAAATCTGAACCCCAAACAGGATCATGTAAAAATTAAACATTAACCCACACAACAAAAATAAAATACCACATAACAACTGTGACATCTACCTTCATAACACACATGACTTAAAAAAATAGTTATAAAGAAATTTTGATGTTATCATTACTGGTTCATGGAATAAGTTTGAGTTATTTCCCTTTGAACAGAAATATGGTTTACCATAGTACTCTAACATTAGATATGATTTAATCACTGAAAATAGTTCTCTATAATTAGATATGATGTAACACAATGTATATCTATTTTCAAATTATAATCAAATATAATTAATAGTTCCAAATATTTTTTCTTTCATTTGTCACAAACTAATATAGATCTGCAACTTATCTATCAATGTCAACAACTTTAAATGTAATGAAATATATCCTTTAATAAAAATAGATTATTATCTAATTAAAGGAGTTCACTTCATATTATATATTAATATAGCATTCAGAAAATTAGTTTATACAGAATAACAAACAAACCTACCATAAAATTCTTCCAACGAATTACCAAAGAAAAAAAAAATCCAAAATGTCATTTATCATTAATACAGTGTCTTTTAAAAATCTTTTAAAAAATGAGTTATTTCCCTTTGTACAGAAATGGATTAATTCATCAAAAATTGAATTCTTGGGAAAGGGCTATAACTGAACAACGAGGGAAGCTAAAATCGTGAAAATTGAACTTGACCTCATTTAGTCACAGGAAACAACAAATCTAAATTTGAAAAAATTTCTTCAAAGCGTTTTCATGTAAATGAACGGACACTGTTTGGCAGCCGCCCACCCACCCGCCGTACATCCCCAAATCAATAACCGATTTTTACTTTGAAACCTGGTTAAAAATTAAGTTTTGACATTTCTGAAATAGCAGTCCTGCCATTCTACACTTTTAATCTGCAGCTTTACTTCCTGTAAGATGCATGAAATATTTGCCACTGGAAGTTAAGTAACCAACAATCAATTCAAATTGATGTCATTCTCAACAGTGCAGGAAGACCAGGTAAATCTGTACAGAATAACAATATAAAAAAAAATCAGCTATCTAAGGAGTTTAAATAAAGTGGATTCATCTATAGGTTGTCATACGGCCTTCAACAATGAGCAAAACTATACCCTACAGTCAGCTATAAATGACCTGTACATGACAAACTGTAAAACAATTCAAAGAAAAAAGTAATGAACTGATTTATGACAAAACAAAAACAAATATAGCAGACAGCAACTAACAATAACCACTGAATTACAGGCTCCTGACTAGGGACAGGCACATACAGAATGTGGCGGGGTTTAACATGTTTGTGAGAGTTCAACACTCCCCTTAACCTGGGACAGTGGTGTACCAACACAAGATATAAATCAGTTTGTTATGGCTTGACTTGTCAAATTGGCATGCAAATGTACCAATCTAAGAGTACTCACAGTGACTAAAAGCTAGTTCAAAGTCAGTAACAACTAATTAATAAATTATATTTTCTCCCAGATTTAAGTCCTGTTTCAAATTATAGGTTAGCTAATTGATGTGCTTGTTTATAACAATTATTGAACATCAGTAAAGAAACCTTATATCTATTATGTCAAAATGAAGATTTAGGGTACACTGATGGGCAAGAGAAGATCAGATGAGATCAGATGACCATATTTCTATTCCATGTTTAACCCTTTTTTGATATAATTGCAATAGGACAAACGTAACAACACTTGCCATGTAAGTAGCCTCTAATGATGGCATTGCACAAGCACACTATATAAGAGTCATATAACTTGTCTAACTAGAGTTGTACTGTACTAGCAGCCTTGACCTCTTGTACATTCCTCTTAGAACATATAGCACCCACAATTTATTTCATGCAAGTTAAAGTATAATAGTCCCAGGCTCAAACAAACAATCAAATCAAATCAAATCGAATCAAAATCAAAATCAAAATCAAATCAAATCAAATCAAATCAAAATAAATCAAATCAAATCAAATCAAATCAAAATAAATCAAATCAAATCAAATCAAATCAAATCAAATCAAATCAAATCAAATCAAATCAAATCAAATCAAATCAAATATCAAATCCATTCAAATCAAATTTAAAAAATCAAATCAAATCAAATTAAATCGATTCACGTTTGGGAACGTTATACGGAAAATCAATGAACCGTCATTGGCCGGGACACTAGAAAACACAGAAAACAACATGGCGGACAAAGAGCTAACCGATTCTACTTCTTCCACGTCACATGCCTCAAATCCTCTTACTAGAAAATTAAATAAAATTCTAGAGACACGTTTAGACAATGACAAGGTACTTTTACCTTTTTTTGTAGTCGGTCACAATTGATTAAAAAAAACAGCAAAAATAACCCCCCTTTACTCTGAACATTTCTGAGTCCGGATCGATTTTCTGATTTGGCCGCCTTCATTGAAATTTGGATATCAAGATATTTGCTGTCATGGCGATATATCATAAAAGTAAACATTTTTCACAGACACCAGATCGGAAATTCATAACATCATAAAAGACATAATAAAAGTTTCTGTTAATCAGCTGTTTGGGCTAATAAAGCTCAATCAGGCTATCCTCGTCTCTTGTGTTTTTGCGCTATGAAGAATGCATTGTGACGTCACAATTTCCATTGAAAAAGCATGCATAATATGAATTCATATGACGTATGAAAACATATGATCTGACCATAGATACAATCTCAATTGAGCTATAGAAAAAAAAGCATGTATCGTACCTCTGCACCACTACAAGACTAAGTGCACACACATAATGGAAAAGTAATTATAAGGTTCAACATTTCAGGATGTACACCTCTGTCTGAGGAGCCAAAAATTTCTACAATTAAACTTTTTTTCTCTTAACCTGATTTTAGGGTTTATGGCAGATTCCATATAAGAAAGTGAAACAACTCCCATAAGCACGTTAGGCAAAAATCATAAGCAATGAACTTCTGTTTTTGAATACATGCTTTACTAATAAAGATAAAGACAATTTGACCAAAAAAAAAATTATGAGCATCATCCTTTTTGTCGAGCCTTCGACTTTTGTCGAAAAAGCGAGACATAGCGATCCTACATTCCGTCGGCGTCGTCGTCGTCGGCGGCGTCCACAAATATTCACTCTGTGGTTAAAGTTTTTGAAATTTTAATAACTTTCTTAAACTATCCTGGATTTCTACCAAACTTGGACAGAAGCTTGTTTATGATCATAAGATTATATTCAAAAGTAAATTTTGTAAAAAAAAAATTCCATTTTTTCAGTATTTTACTTATAAGTGGACTTAGTTTTTCTGCCAGTTAACATTACATTCACTCTGTGGTTAAAGTTTTTAAAATTTCAATAACTTTCTTAAACTATCCTAGATTTCTACCAAACTTGGACAGAAGCTTGTTTATGATCATAAGATAGTATCAAGAAGTAAATTTTGTAAAAAAAAAATTCCATTTTTCCGTATTTTACTTATAAATGGACTTAGTTTTTCTGCCAGGAAACATTACATTCACTCTGTGGTTAAAGTTTTTGAAATTTCAATAACTTTCTTAAACTATCCTGGATTTATACCAAACTTGGAAAGAAGCTCGTTTATGATCATAAGATAGTATCTAGAAGGAAATTTTGATAAAATTTTGTTCCATTTTTTCTGTATTTTACTTATAAATGGACTTAGTTTTTCTTCCAGTCAACATTACATACATTCTGCAGTTTAAGTTTTTAAAACATTTATTAGATTCATAATTTATCCTGGATTTTTACCAAACTTGGACAGAAGCTACTTACAATCAAAACATAGTATAGAGGGGAATATTTTTATTAATTTTTTTCTTCATTTTTGTTGAGCCTGCGATTAACACCAAAAGTAGGCGAGACACTGGGTTCCGCGGAACCCTTACGAATTTTTAAATAAACGAAGCCTTAAATATTATGTTTCTGACATAAGATTTGACAGACTTTATTGTTTCTGATATAAGATTTGACAGACTTTATTGTTTCTGACATAAGATTTGACAGACTTTATTTTTTCTGACATAAGATTTGACAGACTTTATTATTTCTTACATAAGATTTGACAGACTTTATTTTTTCTGACATAAGATTTGACAGACTTTATTATTTCTGACATAAGATTTGACAGACAAATTGAGTTTCTGACATAAGATTTTGACAGACTTGATTCTGACATAAGATTTTTCATACATAAGATATTTTGACAGACAATATATATTTGTTTTTTTTTTGACTGACATTGGAAATCAGATCCTAGTTGAAAGTCATTTTTAAAACTCCTGGAAAATACTGCAGCCTAACATCTAACAAGATTTCACTACAGGTCAAAGAACTTTAACTGTTAGCACATTCAAATGTTTCAGACATAAGAAAACAAGTTTGACAGATCTTATGTAGGAAACATATAAGTTAAAACTATTGCTTGAATAAAGTTAAATGAAAGAATCAACATGTGTTTTTTCTTATGCACAGCATGACTTACAGTTTTAACTGGCATATATTGGAACCTACAATGATTTTGAAAGTTTTTACAGCGATGTTCCTGACATAAGATTTATTGACAGACACTGAGCTATAAAGCAAGATATTTGAAAGTGAAAAAAAATATATATCACAGATGTTTTTGACTAAAAAAAGTAAAAAATTTGGGAACAGGGATGTTTGAATAACCAGACTACACTAGTAAATACCAGTATACAAGTGTCAACATAAAGCATTGCAACACATAAACATTGTGTAAAAAAATGGGAGTTAATTCTGTCAAAATTTTTGCTTTTTTTCAACTTGTTTTAATCATTTCTACTTTAAACGGAAACAATCATATCCAAAAATTATTTTTATAATTTCTTCTAACATCATTATTCCTCAAAACATTCACAGATTATCTTTAAAATAACAGTAATTATTATTTTTATTTATTTATTCATTTTGACAGACATTTCAATTTCTTATATGGAATCTGCCTTATATGACTGCTGCGCAAGAAAGTAATTGATGAAGACAAAATCATATGGTGGTGCACTTCTTTTTTTACTATGGCCATTTGAAAGTACTCCAGTTTTAATGATTTTCCCATTTTTCATCAATTTTTACCCTTTTTTGGGCTATTATCATGATTATCATTATCGTACCTCTGCACCACTACAAGACTAAGTGCACACACATAATGGAAAAGTAATTATAAGGTTCAACATTTAAGGATGTACACCTCTGTCTGAGGAGCCAAAAATTTCTACAATTAAACTTTTTTTCTCTTAACCTGATTTTAGGGTTTATATGACAGCAGTGCAAGAAAGTAATTGATGAAGACAAAATCATATGGTGGTGCACTTCTTTTTTTACTATGGCCATTTGAAAATACCCCAGTTTTAATGATTTTCCCATTTTTCATCAATTTTTACCCTTTTTTGGGCTATTATCATGAAAAAAATCACAGTTTCGCAATTAAACTTTTTTTCATACTTTCACTATTACATAAAATTAAAGATGAAGTGGACCAATCTGTATAAATTTAACTTAAAAAAACTATAGCCATATAATATAGGTTGGTGTTAATATTAGAAAGCTTATAAAATTTTGTTGCTTTTTTGTGTCAAATTGACCATGAGTTCTGTCAATTTTGTAAATTTGGGATTTTTCTCTTTTTTTTAGAACAAAAAGCTTATTATTTCAACTTCTTTTTTATAAATGATTGAAAAAACATATCTAAGAATATTGAAAAGAAAAAATTGATATCGGATGTACATATTTTTGGTAAAATCATTTATTTGTGCCCTCACCCATTTTCTTAACATTTTGGCTGATGAGACTGACCGGAGTGGTTATAAAATTTGAAAATTTATTTACTCAAAAACTACTTATTGTATGTACACAATTTTTTCACAGAGTTTAGTTTGATTATAATATTTTTGAAATTCATTGATATTTTTCAATTGTATCACATATAATAGAAATAATTCCTGAATGAGATTTCAATGCAATTTAGACTGAAACGTCAGAAGAATACATCCTTAAAGTTCGATCTCATAAAATAACTTAATTTTTACTGAGGAAAAACAACACTCATGATGCTTTTGAAATACATTGAGAAAAGTATTCACTCAATTCATATGCCTATACTGGTCAACCAATTTAAAGTTGTGGGGTCATAAAACATACTATGTGTATTACATTTTTTTTTATCCAACATCAATCTTTTGATGTCCCTTATACTTAAGTTGTGATAATCGCTAAACATCATAAAACTAAAAAACTTGGATAAAAGACACAATGCAAAAACAAGTTCCTTGGTATTAGAGAAGATTATCTACATTTTACACTTAACTTATGACATTGTCGAGACTAAAATTTGTAAGGAAGTTATTTTTTATTGTCACTGAACTTTCACTTCATGTGCATGCTCTAGTAGTCTGGTTATGTTCAGTTGAAGTTTTGAGGATGGGGTTTATTCCACAGTACCAACCACGATTTGGTATGAGATTCCTTGTAGGAATTATTTAGGTTGGTCTGGAGTAGTTTTATGTTTCAATATATCTTGAGTAATTGCTGACACGCCTGGATTTCACAGTTGTGCATGAGAATTGTTCAAAAATTGAGCAAACCAAAAATTACTATTGGAAAAGTAAAAATTAAAAGTTTGTATTTTTCTACTTTGCTTGTTCCTAAGGTACTTCATAGACCAACTTCAAGTTCTTTTTATGAATGAGGTACATGTACATCGATTGACCTGAAGTTAATCTGAAAATGACATCATTGAATGAAGCACTGTGACAATGGAAATGCACAGGAAACTGCATGAATTTTAAAGTCATCCAATAAAGTTAAAAGTTGCAATGCCTTCTAGGAATGAAGATACCGGTAAAGAAACTTCTTTGAGGATATTATTTTGTATTTGGACAAATCTTGAAACAGTTCCTTTCCAATATATTATTTCATAAATATTTGTATTGTCCTTTGTTTTTCTATTATATTAGAAAATAGAAGTTTCCATTTAGTAAATTTTATTCTGTTTAAAAATCTTAACATTGTAGGACATGCTGGAAGCCTTAAAGGCATTGTCAACATTTTTTAATGAAAATAGTTTGAGATCAAGACGAAATTTAAGAAGTGACATTGAAAGAAGAAGTCTAGCTATCAATGAAGATTTTATAACAACATTCCAGGCAGTGAAGGAGGTACTTATAAAGAAATTTAATTTTAGTTTTTGCCAAATTTGATTTGGGATTTATTATATTATAAGGATTTTACCCTTTTTGTTTGATTAACTTAAAGATGGAATGGGTATCTACATGTATATCTCTATTTATATGCCCCGCCGAGGCAGAGGGGGCATTGAGTGTTACCCTTGTCCGTCTTTACATCTGTCCGTACGTATGCATGTCCCTAAATTAGTTTCCATTCTCTAACTTTAGTTTGCTTCAACCAAATGTTATGAAACCTATACACAATGCTTATTACCACAAAACACAGATCAAATTCAAATTTGGGTAGCATCACTTTATATTATAAGTGGAAAAATTGCTGTATTTTTAGTTTCTGTTCTCTAACTTTAGTTTGCCTCTACCAAATGTTATGAAACTTATATCCAATGCTTTTTACCATTAAACACAGATTGAGATCGCATGTGAGTGGCATCACTTTTACAGTTCTCTAGTTGTGTCTCTTTATAATGTTATATGCAAATGGGGGCATCATCTGTGTCCCATGGATACATTCTTCATTTATTTGTTAAATAAAAGGAATTCTAATTTGGTTTTGTGTTTGAAATTTTATTTTGTTTATAACTAGATACATGTAGGTCAACAGATAAAAGACTATGTTAGAACAAAATACCTGAAAAATCAACATTAAAGACCACTGAATAACACATGTCTTGCTTTGATCAGATAATATGAAATATGGTGGAAGAACCCACTTATTGAGCTCTCAATCACTTGCCCATCCATCTCTTCTGCTTGCAATGTTAATGGCAAATGATCATGATGATTAAAACACTAACAACATCATGTGATTAAAAATCAGTAAAAAATATACAACACATACATGAGAATGGTGTCAACCTTCGTTGCTCTTAGTAACTGACTGTGAGGAAAATTAAACTCAAGTTGACATCTTCTGTCTTTAATTGATGGATTCTATTTATAGAAACTGGACAGTGTGTATGCTGAAGTGGAAGGCATGAATACCTGCTGTCAAGATATGACTTCAAGACTTAAGGTATAATAGCTGCATGTTTATAATAACTGGTGCTATACAGTGCCAACTCAGGGGTTCACTTTAATTATTTGAAGGATTTTAGAAAATAGACATACATATAAAAATAAGGAGATGTGGTATGATTGCCAATGAGACATCTATCCACCAAAGTTCAAATGAAGTGAATGTAAGTAATTATAGGCAATCGTACGGCCTTCAACAATGAGAAAAACCCATACCGTATAGTAGGCTACAAATTAAAAAGGCCCCGACATGAAAAATATGAAACAATGCAATTGAGAAAACTAACAGCCTAATTTATAACAAAACAATTTATGAAAAACATATATGACAGATATTAACCAATGACAACCACTGAACTACAGGCTCCTGACTTTGGACAGTATAAATAAGAAGATGTGGTATGAGTGCCAATGAGACGACTCTCCATCGAAGTCACAATGTATAAAAAGTTAACAATTATAGGTCTAAGTACGGCCTAAAACACAAAGTCTTGGATAACACTGAACAGCAAGCTTTAAAGGGCCCCAAAATGACTAGTGTAAAACAATTCAAACAGGAAAACCAACGGTCAGGCACATAAAGAATGTGGAGGGGTTAAACATGTTTGAAGGCACCAACCCTTCCCTAACCTGGTACGACTTAATTAGAAAATACTAGTAGAGATCAGATCATCTTAAATTGTGTGGTCAATCTTTATACCAAGGAACTAAAAGGACTTAAAGAATACTTGGTATCAGGCTTAATGCCTTTACGGAAATCATTGATGGAGCATGAAACCTGACACAATTTTTAGTGTAAGGTCCTTTAAACTAAAAAAGTATTTAGAATTGAATATATAAACTGTACAACATCATACTATGCATGAATTACATCAAACCAAAGATAAATATATTTTAATAATATGTGTTGTGTGTAATACATAAAATACCAAATATACAGATCAAAAAAAAATTTGACCGTACAGCAAATCACACCAACATCAGACTCCTATAAAAATAGAAATGATTGTCTTTTTGTCTGATAAAAAGGTAATGAGAATGTTTCACTCTTTCTTTCCATGTGACAACTTTTCATGGAATTATGAAGTCAATCCATCATTGATCAGACTGGGGTAGAAGGGGTCTTACATTTGTTTAGCATGTCTTCAGTACACATCTAATTATTTTTTTAAATGTTGTGTAAATTTAAGGCTGCCAAAGAACAGACACATGATCTTATAAACCAGACTACTAACTTACATGCAGAAAGGTGAGTAAAATACTACATAACCATATGATATTCTTTTGGATGTTTGAAAAAAAGAAGTTTACTTGTTTGTGTATAAATAAGAAGATGTGGTATGATAGCCAATGAGACAACTATCTGCCAGAGACCAAATGACATATACAAAATGTAGATGTAAGAAACCATAGATATAAGAAGATGTGGTATCATAGCCAATGAGACAGCTATCTGCCAGAGACCAAATGACATATACAAAATGTAGATGTAAGCAACCATGTATCCTTCTACAATGAGGAAAACTCAAACTGTATAGTAAGACATAAACGGTCCAGAAATGACAAAAAGTCAAATAAAAAATAAAACAAGAAAACTGACGACCTGATGTGTCTTTAGGGATATTTTAATGTTTATTGTCATTAGGAGAATTTGGTGTTGATTGCAGCAGGTAAATTTTTCACATATTTTTAGACTCTTCACTTTTGAAGTTTGACCTGTTAGACATAATTTCCTGCATGCCAGAACTTTATTCCCAATTTTCGGTTAGAGCAATACAATAAGTATTTCAGAATTTGTTTGACCTATCTAAATTCTATTCTGCATGTCAGACACCATTAATTTCAAAAGGGGTTGATTATGTCAGTACTAGTTGATATCAAAGTAGCTATGTGATAATCATAAATATTTGTTTATTTTCTTTTTTAGTCAAACACTTCATATGAAGGCTCAAGTTGCTGATGCTTTTCTTGCCAAGTTTCAATTAAAACCAGAAGAAGTAAAAGCACTAAGAGGAACAAGAGATGGATCTATTCACCTGGTAAACAGTTATACGACAGTAGTCATACCTATAAAGGATAAAATTCTGATTTATAAAAGTATAAAGTAACAGTTTAACTGCAGTATTCATATCTGTATGGGATACTGAGTTTTGTACAAAGATTGATTGAATGCTGGTTGCTTGATATTTAGTTGAAAATACGATTTGCAGATTCTAATAGGACAAGTGTACAAAATAATTATATGTGATCAGTTTAGAAGTTTTAGAATTGTAGTACTGAAATCGATCATTAAATATTGTTTTGCTCTAGTAAATTGATACTTTGGAAAAGAAAGTACTGTGGATTCATAATTTTCGTGAGATACTTATTTTTGTACATTTCGTTGGTATAGATTAACCACAAATTTTAATGTTCAACAAAATTCAATCTTCAATACTTTTAAGCAGAATTTGTCAAAGCCATGAAATCAAGTATCTCCAAAATAGAATTTTTCTTCCATCCATAAAAATTAGTACACACAAAAAAAAAAATGAATCCAGAGTATATAAAATCAATTTACATAAGACTTCATTTCCATTAAATACTAAAAAATACCAAGAATGGAGCAGCACATGTCTTGCTGTTCATGATCTTTACTGCCGTTTGTGTCATCCGCCACATATTTCTCTGAAGAAACATACATGAGGAAATTTCCATAAAACTAGGATTTGTGTTCTGCATAATAAATTAATAATGGTAGACTTTTTAACCTAAGAGAAAAAACTGCCCAAATATTTTAAAGGAAGTGTTTTATAAGTTTTGAGGAAAAAGGATTGATTTAAAGGATACATTTTTGCAATTCTGTATTTTTTAGGATTTTTTCCAAGCTCTTGAGAAAGTGAAGAAGATACATAATGATTGCAAGGTTTTATTAAGAACCAATCAACAGACAGCAGGGTATGTACAATTAAAAATATTACTGTAATAGATTTACTCCCAAATTTAATTTATTTTCAGGTCTGTTTAGCAATTTTATGTACATCTTTAACTGGTATATTGTTTTTCTTAAATTGCCTCTTTGTTCATAATCTTGTATTGATTAGATAGATGATATGGAAGAGGAGTGTTTTCTTTACAAATGCGATTTAAGATGATAATTTTAAAAACAAATGCAACATTGCCAGGATGCACATTATTTCTATTGTTTTTGATATGTTTAGATTAGAAATAATGGAAACTATGGCTTTACACCAAGAATCAGCTTATGAAAGACTTTATAGATGGACCCAAAGTAAGTACTGTACACCAAGAATCAGCTTATGAAAGACTTTATAGATGGACCCAAAGTAAGTACTGTACACCAAGAATCAGCTTATGAAAGACTTTATAGATGGACCCAAAGTAAGTACTGTAATATAAAGCTTAATATCAACTCAATTTAGTCTTGATTATTGTTTAACTTCTTCCTTATTTCTCTTATATCTTGTAATAATTATATCCTGCAAACAAAGCTATGGGTGTTAACTCTTGCATATAATAATCACTTTGTCCATGTCATGTATATGTCATAATTTTGTGATTCCTGCTGTGATCTAAGTCATTTTCACATAATTTTTATCATGATTCCAGTAAGGTCACATAATGACAAAGTTTAAGGTCACAACTGATTCATGTTGGATTGGGTCATATTTTTTTGCAAGTTTGTATGAAAGGTAGGCCAATCAGTATCCAAGAATATGTCTTTCCTTTTTAATAGAGCAGAGTATGTCTTTCACTTTACCCAGTTCATATGTAGAAGGCCAAAGTCTCTTTTGATAAATATTCTTGAATCTCAGTGACACTCAATACGATTGTTGCTAATGACTCTTACCCATAAAATGTATTCAATTGTACCATATCTTTGAAGTGCATTTTTTATCCAAGTATTAAACCTTTGCGCAATTGGGTCAATATGCGTAATTGATTTCCCATAGGCGGTAATGGTAACATTTTCTTCTATAGCTCAGTCCATATCATAAACTTGGATATGTATGATGGCTCGTTTCGAAGCTGAGACATTTTCACATATGTGGTTAAATTTTTGGGGTACGAAGTGAGATTCATTTTTCCGTAAATTAGCACACCCCAAAAGTCTTTTCGTGATGCGGCTCCTCGAGGTAAAAAATCCCTTCAAACTATAAGTTCTTTGAAAATTTAGTACTTTGCATACATTAAATAACTCCTTAGTTTTTACACATTTATTCTATGGTCCTCTTCTTTCCAAATTAACACAAATGGTAAAGCTCAGTCACTTTTTAAAAATAGAAACATGTCCAATATTACTACACAGAGTTTTTTTGTTTACACACAACTTTTGTGTTTCTCTATTTGAGGCGCATTAGGGATATTGACCCAATTAACACTCAATATCCAAAGCCATCTCTTGACCTTAAATCACATCTTATAGTTCCACATTTCAATGATTTAGTCATGTCATCGCCACATATAAAGAGTTGTTAGGTGTACTGCATTGAGACAGCTACCCAGCAACACCATAAATATCAAAAGACAGTTATATAAATGAGATGGACCCAAGTTTTCCTTAAGAAGTAAAAAAGTAAAAGACAAACAAAACTAAATCAGTTGTAATCTTTTTTTATTTTTAAGCCAAACCAGTGTTACTTGTCAACAACTTTTGTATAAGTGAAAATGTGTATAATGTTCTGTTAATACATGTAAGTACATTTCTTATCATTGTTTTATTTTAGATGACTGCAGGACATTGACAGGGGATTCCCCTGATGTATCCTCTATGTTATGCCAAGCCATGGAATCACTGCAAGACAGACCAGTTCTGTACAGGTAATTGTTCTTGAAACTGTTTCTCCTAATATGTCACGTCTTTCAATCCAGGTATCTAAAATGGCTTCCTCTTTGTAACTCTCCTGTATGAGTAAATCTAGAAGATGTCTTTTCTGTCTGTAACTTTTCCAACTAGAGCTGGTCTGATTTTACCAATGGACCAGCTAGTGCGGAGAAGGAATTCTTATTTGAAGCTGGTCCTTCTTATAAAAAGAAAAAAAGAAAGGAAAAGCACTGGTCAACCCTTAAACATCTGAAATTTATAAAATATTAATTTAAACTTAGAATCATTTCATTCCTGTAATTATAATTCCATGGTTTTTGGCTGTTTTGTTTTGATACTCTAAATGATTAATTTGTATTCAGCTTTCTTAATTTCATATTTAGTGTCCATGATGAAATTTATTCAAGATCCACATCTGAATATGTAATGTTAAATTTAGGTACACACTTGATGAATTTGGTACTGCCAGGAGAACAGCTGTGGTACGAGGGCTAATTGATGCTCTGACTAGGGGAGGTAAGCTTTTTTTTATGTAGAACATGCTCATAGAGGTAGTTGATTTCTTACGAAATTCACTTCATGATGTTTGGTTTTAAAGCCAATATATTCCCCATTAACTGTGAATGCAATTTTTCCTATATCTCTCCAGTTGCCGAGTTGCCTACCCTATCCATCTGACAGCCTAACTTTGAAGATACCAAACTCTATAAACTTATTCTTACCTTATGTTGTAGGACCAGGTGGTACCCCAAGACCAATAGAGCTGCATTCCCATGATCCTCTGAGATATGTAGGAGATATGTTGGCATGGTTACATCAGGCTACTGCATCAGAGAAAGAACATCTTCAGTCATTGCTGAAAAAATGTTCAAGTGAGTAAAGATAGATTTGTTATTCAACATAACATATGGAAGTATTCCTAGGACTGCTTCATGAAAGCATTTCTTCTGCAGAGCACACAAATATAATAGAATGAAAAAACTAATTATTTTAAAATCATTTTGAACTTTCTTTCCTTTAATTGTAAAAGTTGTAAAAAGTTGGCTGTTACATAAATTACTTTCACATAACAAACAAGTGGCATACTTTAAAGCATTGATCAGACTGGATTGTTGATAGTATTTATTCTTATAAAAAAGAATTATTTTTTTAAAGTTGATTTGAAATAGAAATAAAAGACTCTTAAGACATTTTTTTTCAAAAACCTATAAACCAACTTAGTTTTGAACACAGAAAAATTAAACAGCAGTATGATTGATTTGAAGACATTATTTGTGTAATTTTTACAGCTACAGATGAACAGACCCAGGAAGTCCTTGGCCATATCACAGAAGGTGTTTGTAGACCATTCAAGGTTAGTTCTATTATTTATATTCAACATATTCTACATAAATGTTTCCTCCTTGTATAAGAATGACAAGTAGAACATTTTAAAAGTCTTTGTAATTGCAGAAACATTCCAAATATATAGATACTGACATGTAAATGTACAAATAAAAAATGTTATGATGATACAGCAATCTAACAACAAAAAACTAAAGACATAAATTTCAAAATATGCGTCTATAACTATAGTTATGTGCCTAAACAGCATATCATGTTCTAAATGCCTGAGTCTATAAAAAATGTTAATAAACCGAACTGAGTCTATCAAAGATCTCCCTCCAAAACTAAATTACCCACCAGACATAAAATATTAAGATACAACAAAAGACAACCACAGACATGTTTCCCAAATTTGGACAGACACATGTACTAGTTTTTCAAATCATAACTCCTCCCATTGATTGTTGATTTATATCTTTAATAATGGTACATGTTACAGGTCAGAGTGGAGCAAGTGTTGGTATCAGAACAAGATGCTGTTACTCTATACAAACTACACAATCTACTCAAGTTTTACCATGATACAATTGGGTAAGTACTTGGACATTACAGTAGCTACTCTATACAAACTACAAAACTACTCAAGTTTTACCATGATACAATTGGGTAAGTATTTGGACATTTTAGTACGGTAGCTACTCTATACAAACTACACAATCTACTCAAGTTTTACCATGAAACAATTGGGTAGGTAATTGGACAGTTTAGTAGCTACTTTATACAAACTACAAAAACTACTCAAGTTTTACCATGATACAATTGGGTAAGTATTTGGACATTTTAGTAGCTACTCTCTACAAAGTACACAATCTACTCAAGTTTTACCATGATACAATTGGGTAAGAATTTTGACATTTTAGTAGCTACTCTATACAAACTACACAATCTACTCAAGTTTTAGCATGATACTATTGGGTAAGTACTTGGACATTACAGTAGCTACTCTATACAAACTACAAAAACTACTCAAGTTTTACCATGATACAGTTGGGTAAGTATTTGGACATTTTAGTAGCTACTCTATACAAACTACACAATCTACTCAAGTTTTACCATGATACAATTGGGTAAATATTTGGACATTTCTACAAAAACTTTTATAGTTTTATCTTTAATACTTATTACTGAAATTCTTTCAAAATACTTTTTGATCACTGTCTACCTCTTTCATCTTTTTATCATTGTTTTTTTTTAAGCCAAACTCGTTCATTGTTTATAAAAAAAAACTTTTAGAGCTTAGTCATTATGTATATGAATGAATTTCACAGTGGTACATAGGAAAAAAAGTTGGTTTAGATTCATAATCACATTTACTTTTTATATGTAGAAAATGATGTAGATTTTTACAAGATGTATGTACCATATGAACAATTGTTTAACAGGCAAATAATTAACCAGGAAGCAGCCTTGTTATCCACTATAACAGAAATACAGGATCTCAGCCACAGAATGTTCTTCAACAGTCTGAATTGTCATGGTAACAAGTTGTTGGACAAAGTAGAGCTACCACCATCCGATTTAGGACCTACGGCTTCACTGAACCAAACCTTACAGTTATTGAAAGACATTTTGGCATGTCATGATGCCTCAGTCATAGATTATGACAATAAAAAACAAGATTTTAAACAGGTATTTAGCATGATGTATTTACACATTTTTTAAAATGAAAAATGTTACCAAATTTTGCAGCAGGTCTCAGTTGATTAAAAGAAGTGTCAATTGGTTAAATCTACTTTTAATTTGTATTAATATGCATGATTTTAAATTCAGCCACACTATTCACAAAAAGTCTAACTATTACATACTACTTATACTGAAAAGGTCATGACCTATGAATATTCTTATTCATAGAACTTTTGTTTAAAAGAGATACTGTTACCTGCTATTAGATTCACCACACACTAAATATGATGGATATCATAGATTCTCCCCCCTAAAAAAACTTGATCCTCTCAAATCAATTAAATAAGGATATGATTTTGGTCAAAAGTTGATGTATGGTATGGTATCATATGAAATGCTACATGTCATATTTTTGGTATCTTTAAGATATTAATCAAAGATCTCTTAAAAGCTGTGACTGGTATGGATAGTATATTGGTGTTAAAATAGGCAATACACTTTCATATTGACTACAGAAATTTAATGTAGGACAAATGGATACACCAAATGGAGTATTTGTCAACAGGAATAAAAAAAAAACTTGATGGCAACCTATATGATAAACTGCATGGAGATTATGTTAAAACAAATACAATTTTAAGCTACATGCATTTTAATTTGACCATTACTTTTCAGATTTTAAACAGTATAGTTGACCCATTAGTACAGATGTGTTCTGTGTCAGCAAGTAGATTGAATACGTCTGATATGGCCACCTATATGATAAACTGTATTTATTTGATCCAGAATACACTTGCTTTGTATGAGTTTACAGATACACGACTTGAAATGTTACAGGCTCAGGTAACAGTATTTATTATTTGTGTTGATTTTGTAAACAAATAATTCCTGATGTATATAGTTATGACCCTTTATGAAAATTTTTTGAGACCAAAGTTGTTATAGTATACACTTTTTGTCTTTAAAAGATGCCAATTTATACACTTTTTGTCTTTAAAAGATGCCAATTATACACTTTTTGTCTTTAAAAGATGCCAATTTATACACTTTTTGTCTTTAAAAGATGCCAATTTATACACTTTTTGTCTTTGAAAGATGCCAATTTATACACTTTTTGTCTTTAAAAGATGCCAATTTATACACTTTTTGTCTTTGAAAGATGCCAATTATACACTTTTTGTCTTTAAAAGATGCCAATTTATACACTTTTTGTCTTTAAAAGATGCCAATTTATACACTTTTTGTCTTTAAAAGATGCCAATTTATACACTTTTTGTCTTTGGAAGATGCCAATTTATACACTTTTTGTCTTTAAAAGACGCCAATTTATACACTTTTTGTCTTTGAAAGATGCCAATTTATACATTTTTTGTCTTTAAAAGACGCCAATTTATACATTTTTTGTCTTTGAAAGATGCCAATTTATACACTTTTTGTCTTTAAAAGACGCCAATTTATACACTTTTTGTCTTTGAAAGATGCCAATTTATACATTTTTTGTCTTTAAAAGACGCCAATTTATACATTTTTTGTCTTTGAAAGATGCCAATTTATACACTTTTTGTCTTTAAAAGACGCCAATTTATACATTTTTTGTCTTTGAAAGATGCCAATTTAGAAATGAACGCTTTGTTATTATTACAAATAAAGAAAGAATTTTCCAGCTTATATTGTTATCAACAACATGGCTGTGAACTGTGTCTGTTCTTATTCCTTTAGTGGAAGTGAACATTTCCTTATTTTATATATAAATACCAGTGTATCAAAGATAAAGCTTTAAAAAAAAACCAAAATCATGACAAAGTATTTGGATACACAGGTTTTGAATAAATAACTTATTGTTACTGGTTCTCATATTGTATCAATATTATTCACAGATTAAGGATGACAAATACAGTTGTTTTTTAGCCCTGAATGTGATATTTTAATATTTCTATACATATATGATATGCTTTTATCTAATAGGTTGATGCCCAGGTGGATACCCTAGTCAGTGAGCAGGCCTCATTTATATTAAACAGAGTAGGGTTAGCACATGTGTATGCTAATGTCCAGCAACATCAACCAAAACAGGTTTGTCTTTAATTGCTTTTTGTGTCAGTTCTGATTATTATTAAAAATAGTAAGATTTTCACTGTTAAAATTTTTATTTTTTTTTTATACAAATTAAGATTGTAGAACTCAATGTAAATAAGAGAACATCATGTTTTTGATCCTATTTCAGCTTTCAAGTTCTCTAGAATATTTGTATATTTCAATATACATCAACGATGTGCATAATTTTGTTTGCATGTTTGGAGATTTTGTTTCATTTAACCAATGCATTTATTATTTTTGTTTAAAGCTCATACTTTTGCTGTAGTACAGGTAACTATATTTTGATGCACACATATGTGATGGAGATTAGTGACATAGTCTTTAATTTTGGTCTGAAGGACAGAACTGCATTGAAAAAGAAAGGATGCTTTTGAAAAGTTAAAAACCTTAATATTATTTCAGGGACCTTTATCAAATCTCCCAGGGATGGATCCATTAGCAACAAAGTCAGCAATGGTGAGTAGGAGAATATGAATTATGATATTACATCAAATACTCCTGACCTCATGTTCTCATATATATGATTCTGCCAAAGTGGGGTAAATAATCCTATGTTTTCATAGATTCCTTTTTGTGCTGTTCAGTTTTTAAACCTCCAAGTATCAGATAACCTATTGTAAAAAAAAATATCCTTCATTGTAGTTAGTTGAAATTTTTAACGTTTCTGAAACGGTAAAGGTCAAAGAAACCTATGTTGTTTATATCAGACATGGTCGTATCTATCCTTTGTCCTGTAAAACTTGGTATTTTCCTTTTACATGCTACATTTTTGTCATGTTTAAGGATTCAAGAATTACTATTTACAAATGATTTGTGAATTTTGGTAATGGCTGATGTTTAGACAAGAGAGTTATGTTTTAATTTGAAGCTTTAAAATTGACTGAATAACTGGGTTTTAAAACATTCAACCCAAGATTTTTCAACAGGAAAAATTAATACTGTAAATTCAGAAATTATTGCGATTTTGTCATTTAAGTTGTGTCAATCCTGTTTAATTCATATAAAAAATTTCAAAATGCGAGTTTAAATTATTGCGATTATTACCCTGTCGCATTTTTCGCAATAATAAAAACATCGCAATAATTTCTGAATTTACAGTAGATATTTTTATTTGTATTACAGGTTCCTTTTGTTGAAAACTTGTTATTTTATCACTTAAAAAAATACTAATATGGAATTGTTCAAAATGTTAAAAGTAAATAATTTGTTAAATCAAGATTGCCTTCATTAATGGGCACAGAAAGGTTTAATTAATGTCTAAAGACAATATTTTTATTTTAGGGAAAAGGTAAGTTGGTGTGTATAGACATAATTCAAACTTCAACAGATTTTACTGTATTTGAATTTTCTATTTTCAGAATAAATTTGACAGCTATTTAGCGAGTCCTGATTCTCTAGGGATTCCTCAGTGCGGTTTGATATTGAGTGCTAGAGTCAGGTACATATTTATGTTTAGAAATATGCATTTAGAGATTTGATATAAATAGCAATGTGAAATATCTGACAATACAATAAATACATTACACAAATATCTTACAATACAATAAATACATTACACAGGGGTTGAACATTTTTGTTACAGCTCACTAGCCAAAGACTTATTGGTAACAGGATTTTACTAGCCCTGTTAAAAGAACTGCTAGCCCATCAAAACTCCCCTACTAGCCCAAGTATGCCTTACAACTTCAGAGTTTGCTGCATAATACAAAGTGGGTGTCCCTTATTTTGAAGGTGGCATTATACACTATTTAATCAAATAAATCAAATAAATTTTTGTTTTATTAATTATTACAAGGATCTGTAGTCATCTTTTGGGATTTCCGTTGTACTATGGGTTGTTAAATATTTTCGGGACACATGTTCATTGATCTTGTCATGTGAAACCAGATGTTTAATTTGTATATTTGTTGTTCCCACATACAAAGCAGACTTTTTATTAGCGTGATCAGGAAAATAACGGCAATATTCACAAAACATCGTCTCTGGCCCAGGGGAATCTTTCTGTCCATGACACTATGAATGTTCTTTTCCTATTTCCCTGTCATATTAGGCATTTTTTGGGGATAAATTTTCAGCCTCATTACCCCCTCCATCTTCCTTTTTCGTTTTGAAACTAACACAGTTCCTGGGGTGTCTGTACTAAAATGTTTAGAAATAGTTTGTTGCATAGTTTCGTGCTCAACAGCTGTCTGACAAGACAGGTCAATATCGATCAATGCATCATACCCCTAGTACCTTTAATTGAAAATCTCGGCATAAGTAATGTACAATACCCCTATACTGAGAAATCGATATTGAAAGTAAGGGAATTGCGATCAATACATGATAATGGTCAACTCTGAGTTAGTTGTTCTATTTTTAAAACATGTACAAAATCAGTTCAAATTCTTAGAATCCCGGATGACGTAATTGAATCTGATTGGCTAAGATAGAATAGTGATGAAGGGATTTTCCACTTTCTATTTTGGAAATAGCAAGAATTTTTTGTTACTAGTCCGTCGGGCATATTGGGTTACAAGTTTTAATTGCCCAAGGCATAAATGCTCTAGTCCCGGACGTCGGGCTAGTGGATTTTTTAACCCCCGATTACATGTACATTTCATAAGAATCTGTTATTTTGATTGGTAGATAACAAGCATGAGGAATTCCAATATTATATTTTATTTCCCAATAAAATGTAACATTCATGATAGCTTATGCTTCTCATGATAATGCCACAACAATGCAAAAAGATTAATGAAACTAGTAAATATATGGTTGTAGCATAAAAACATTATTATAAGAATTGAATGGTTTTTTATTCGACCGCAAAAAATTTGCGTTCGTATATTGCTATTACGTTATCGTCGTTGTCGTCCGAAGACATTTGGTTTCAGGACAATAACTTTAGTTTAAGTGTATGGATCTCTATGAAATTTAACCAAAAGGTTCAATACCACAAAAGGAAGGTGGGATTGTTTTTGGGGGTGATGGTCCCAACCGTTTAGGAATCAGGGGCCAAAAAGAGGTCCAAAACAAGCATTTTTCTAGTTTCAGGACAATAATTTGTGTATAAGTATTTTGATTGCCCTGAAATTGTACCACAAAGTGCAATACCACAAGTAGAAGGTTGGGATTCATTTTGGGGGTAATTGCCCAAACCGTTCAGGAATTGGGGGTTCAAAAAGGGGCCAAAACAAGCATTTTTCTAGTTTTCAGACAATAACTTGTGTTTAAGATGAATGTGTCAAATTGTACCACATTTCACATTTTACAAAAAAAAATTTCTTCAAATATTATTTTGGAGGGGGGTGGTCACGATTTATTTTGCTAATTCTTTGTATATAGTCTGAAAACAGATTTACTAAGTATTACACAACAGCAAGAAATCTTCAATTGAATATAAATTCAAATCATATAACCAATTTCAAGTTCTTTGACTACATTTATTCTGTGTCAGAAACCTGTAATGTGTCAAATATTTAATTACAATCCAAATTCAGACCTATATCAAGCTGGAATATTGTGTCCATTTTTGACCCAACTGTTCAGGGTTGGACCTCTGCGGTCGTATTTAGCTGCACTCGGTGAAGCACATTTTTTTGTAATTTTATAGGGTTGTAAAAGCATTGATCCTACATACATTCTTAGTATGAAGCTCTTGCTATCAATGTTTTTACACCCCAATAAAATTACAAAAAGATGCATTCAATTCTTAAATGCAAATAATTTTAAAATAGGAAAGTAGCTGTATAAGTATGGAAAAAAAATGAGTTTAAGGCCAATTGCTTGATGTTTTAGTTTATTTATTGATACTTCTAATACAATGATGCTATGTAAAATATAAAACACTATAAAAAGCTGAAAAATAAGAAGACTACACAACAGAATCCTTATCAAATTTTTCAACAAACTAAAATTTGGGTTGGTTATTTCCCACTGATTAGAGTTGACCAAGCTTCAGATCATATAATAATTCCCATGTAACCCCATACTAAAAAAAGGGAAAAAAAATATATTGTAAAGCAGATGAACAGAAAGGTGAATTTACTTCACATTTATCTTTGAGTCTTTGTAATTCACAATTAACTACCAATTATAATATAATTGTTACTTTATAAAGTATTCATCAGTATATATCACATCTAATTAATTTACAATCATCTTCATGTATGGCAGGAACAGTACGATTCTTAATTATATCATGTTTCCTTAGTTACTGTTAATTCAGAAATTATTGGATACATTTATTATTAAAAAGACTACTAGATGATGAATTTTATATCCACAGTATTTTAACTGATATATTTAAAAAAAAATCCATTATGGTTAAATGTAATGCAATTAAGATGTTCTTAATTTTTCTGTTTCAGAGAAAACGTAAAAAGACAATCTGTTGATTTAATATGTGGTGCCTATAAACAAATGTATGAAGCTGTTTGTAAACCAGACAATGAATATAAAGAACCCCAAGGCATTGTACCAAGGACACCTGAACAAGTTGTTAAACTATTATCATGATTATTGTACAAATTATATTCTTATTTATTTATGAATCAAATATATATTAAAGAGGGCTTATTATGTGTTTTACTTTTATGACATGGTATGAATAGGAAAAAGGGAGAGGAGGGGGTTGTTCCCATGTTAATTTGGTTTAACCCCACTACATATGGTATGAATAGGAAAAAGGGAGGGGAGGGGAGGGGGTTGTTCCCTTGTTAATTTGGTTTAACCCCACTACATATGGTATGAATAGGAAGAAGGGAGGGGAGGGGGTTGTTCCCATGTTAATTTGGTTTAACCCCACTACATATGGTATGAATAGGAAAAAGGGAGGGGAGGGGAGGGGGTTGTTCCCTTGTTAATTTGGTTTAACCCCACTACATATGGTATGAATAGGAAAAAGGGAGGGGAGGGGGTTGTTCCCTTGTTAATTTGGTTTAACCCCACTACATATGGTATGAATAGGAAAAAGGGAGGGGAGGGGGTTGTTCCCATGTTGATTTGGTTTAACTCCACTATATATGGTATGAATAGGGAAAAGGAAGGGGAGGGGGTTGTTCCCATGTTAATCTGGTTTAATCCCACTACATATGGTATGAATAGGAAGAAGGGAGGGGAGGGGGTTGTTCCCATGTTAATTTGGTTTGACCCCACTTTATATGGTATGAATAGGAAAAAGGAAGGGGAGGGGGTTGTTCCCATGTTGATTTGGTTTAACTCCACTATATATGGTATGAATAGGGAAAAGGAAGGGGAGGGGGTTGTTCCCATGTTAATCTGGTTTAATCCCACTACATATGGTATGAATAGGAAAAAGGGAGGGGAGGGGGTTGTTCCCATGTTAATTTGGTTTAATCCCACTACATATGGTATGAATAGGAAGAAGGGAGGGGAGGGGGTTGTTCCCATGTTAATTTGGTTTAATCCTACTATATATGGTATGAATAGGAAGAAGGGAGGGGAGGGGGTTGTTCCCATGTTAATTTGGTTTAATCCTACTACATATGGTATGAATAGGAAGAAGGGAGGGGAGGGGGTTGTTCCCATGTTAATTTGGTTTAATCCCACTACATATGGTATGAATAGGAAGAAGGGAGGGGAGGGGGTTGTTCCCATGTAAATTTGGTTTAACCCCACTACATATGGTATGAATAGGAAGAAGGGAGGGGAGAGAGTTGTTCCCATGTTAATCTGGTTTAACCCCACTACATTTTTTGCTTGTACCAAGTCATGCTATCTGGACCCTGTTTTGTTCTTTGTTGTTTGTTTTTGTTTGTAAGTCTATTTTTCGGAGAGTTGGACGTTGGTGGTTTTTAATGAGGTCTGTTTTTAATACTGTCCAATATTTTTTAAGGGCCAGTGTAAGCTTTTCCCCATCACTTGGCGTCAGTTGTCTGTTGTCATCAGTTGACTTTTACAAAAATCTTCTCTGAAACTACTGGGCCAAATGGGCGCAAATTTGGCCACAGTCATTCTTAGGGTATGTAGATTAAAAAGTGTGTTCTATGATCCCGCTTGCCATGCAACATGGCTGGCAAGGCTAAACATAGGGGTAAAATGTATCATTGGCAATCATACCACATCTCCTTATTTTTATATTGTTTATTATATCTTGTAAACTGTTATAGACAGAGAAAACCTGACAGAGCGAAAAAATATCAGATTGTCATGATCTACCTACCATTCATTTAGACCAAAACTGTCAGACGGCTGCAGAGGAGGGTCAGCAATTGTTAAGTTTTCTTTAAGTTTTCTGCCAAAGTTAGATTGATAGGAACTACTTGTGATAGATCAATGATATTTGATATAAAGTTTCATTACTATCAGTACATATTAGTTTGATGACTATTTCAAGGCCCTGCCCCCTAGGTCATTATCCAGCAACTTTGAATTAACTATCAATTTTGAATGTTAAGTTTTCTGCTTAAATTAGTTTAATATGAACCACATGTGATAGATCATTGATATTTAATATGAAGTTGCATTACTATCAGTACATATCAGTTTGATGACTATTTTTAGGCCCGGCCCCCTAAGTCATGGTCCAGTGACTATGAATTAATAAGCAATTTTCAATGTTAAGTTTTTTGCTTAAGTTAGTTTGATAGGATCTACCTGTGATAGATCAATGATATTTTATATGAAGTCGCATTACTATCAGTACATATCATTTTGACGAGTTTTTTTAGGCACTGGCCCCTAAGACATGGGCAAGTGAATATGAATTAATTACCAATTTCCAATGTTAAGTACATAGATATAAGAAGATGTGGTATGAGTGCCAATGAGACAACTCTCCATCCAAGTCAAAATTTATAAAAGTAAACCATTATAGGTCAAAGTACGGTCTTCAACACAGAGCCTTGGCTCACACCGAACAGCAAGCTATAAAGGGCCCCAAAAATTACTAATGTAAAACCATTCAAACAGGAAAAACCAACGGTCTAATCTATATAAAATACGAGAAACGAGAAACACTTTTGAACCACATCAACAAACGACAACTACTGAACATCAGATTCCTGACTTAGGACAGGTGCAAACAATTGCAGCGAGTTTAAACGTTTTAATGGTACCAAACCGTCACCCTTATCTGAAACAATGGTGTAACATCACAACATAGAAAGACACACTATAAAATATCAATTGAAATGGCTTAACTCAATCAAAAGACATATTAACACCAGTGAACATACACTGAACAAATAAATTTGATCTATGATACAATGTAAATACAAAATAAATAAACTAAGGGAAGAATGATTAAAGTAACATGTTATACCGCTGTGAAATATTAAACAATTTAAGAAAAAAATAATATGCTTGAACAAAAATATCAGCCATTTGCAATTACTTTAAACACAGGTAAATGAAAATAATTTTGTTGTTAGGTATATGTGTACAGTTCAAATGGAGAAAGGAAATATTTTTACAAAATAAATAATTTTGATGTTCATAGTACGAAGAAGTGAACATTTAAAGTAATACCAAACACTTATCAAAGCTGGTATACAGACCAGATATAACCCTGAATAACATTAAATCTCAGTTTGTCAACCAATTCTAGGCCCTGCCCATAAGATCATGGTCCAGCCACTTGGAATTAATACCCAATGTTGCTGTCTATCAGATTGTCTTTTTCTGAATTTTATGCCAGGTGAGACATATCTCTGTGTCAACAGTTTATTCTTACAATTTTGTTAATCCTTTATCAACTGCCTCCATTGGTCTCTTATTAATGTGCACTTCTAGTGCTGGAGATTGAATGTAAGACTTTATAATATTTGTTTTGCTCCTCGCCAAGCATGAGGCATTCAGGAGTGAGAGAAGACTGGTTGGCTTAGTCAGAATAATGGTCTGGGTAGATAGACATGTCTTCCTGCAGATTACCAATTTGTAAGCTAGCATATTTAAAAAAAAAAAGACTCAGTGTGTCAGTCTAGTGCAAAGCAGAGTATATTTATAATTCATATGCAATTCAATTCAATTCAAAGTTTTATTAAAGTCTCATTACATGTAATTGTTCTAACCTGAGACTACTATAACACAATTATTAGGGTTACAAAAAGCATAGCGATATAACTAAAACATACGACACTTTAACAATAGACAATATTCAAATTTTCAAAAACTTTACGGCTCTGTATTGAAGCACAAAATTTCTTGTCTGGGATTTTGAAAGAGGGCACATATTTCTGGTGTTGAAAAAATGTCATCGTAATTTACACTAATGTGGTTCTATTTATGTTAACATAGAGATAATTTGATTATTCAGTCACGTAATTTTGAAGCTTCTTCGTTCTGATTTACATGTACTTGCGGTTGATGCTTCTTTTGGAGTTTTTGCAGTCTTTGCAGCAGGGACGTATAGTCATCCTCAGATTCAATATCTGATGCAGTATATTCACCACGTAAAAGATCAAGATTGAGATCACTATCATCCCAAGATAAAAAATCAATGTTACTGGACATTGTGAATTGAAATATGAAAATGCCGGCGATATTTTGGGAACATATATATATAATTTGTAGGGCTTATGTTTGCTTTATGTATCCATTGCAGTTATAACCTCTTTGCTGATCTGTTACGTAAGAAATTACTCATTTACCTTTAATGAAATGTTTTCTCTCTTCTGTGATCGCCGCTTATTACATTGTTTGCAAAAACTTGACCTAATTATCAGACGGAAATTTAAAAAAAGTGTGGGGGGGGGGTTGAAACTTGTATAGAATAAAAGATTACTGCAATAAACGGAGCCTCGTGTACCTTGGGCACCCAGCTGTGAAACAAAATTCATCTCCCATGCTTTTGAGACTACCTGTCTTTACAGGTAAAATAATTGTATATTAGATACAATTAACGGACGTGTAGCAAAACAATGTAACTGTAAGATTGATAAGATTAATCACATTCACATTTTCAAGAGTGGCCGCATAATAACTATTAACAAATTATTAATGATTAAAAACAAAATTTAAATATGAATAGACAGCCGGGAAGCCACTGACGCAGGAGAGTTCCTCTAGACGTTTTTGATCACGTGATTTAGACGTAAACAAAATGACGTTTTTGATCTGCAAAATCGGGAATGAATTTTCCGTTTTTACTCTGTATGTGTTGATTCTATGTTGGCATCCAAGCATAATAATGTTTACTTGGAACATTATTTATCTCCGTTTTAAGCGGTTCTGCTCAGAATTCGCAATGTGACGTAAAAATGGTGTCCTGACAAAAGTTAAATCAGTATTTTCCGGCGTTGGTACCTTTAATCTTATTAAAATATTCCCTTGAATCGTGATATGCTGGTCGCATTTCATTTATTTTCATTAGAGAAATTATAAGAGATCGTGGTCATGTTAATAAAAGAAGGATATTTGTTAAGGGATGAAAATGTGTCAGTTATCAGTGCCAGTCCGTAGAGTGAAAATTTGTCTCGAAGCGGTAGAAATCCCAGTGTTCGTAACACCTCCGGATTTTTCGTAATACTCCTGAGAAAAAGACGTTTCTCTAATGATGCCCGAATTGAAAGAATATTATTCCACTTTCTCAAACTTCTTTCAATATTATAACCTTCTATCGTGTTTTGTTATATATTTGTGCACTGAACAGTTACACAAAATATAATTGGGACAATTACTGTATTTATTTTCATTTTAAGTAAGACATTAGGACACAACCAATTAAAAAAATATAAGAATATCATATTAATTCCATATTTTTAGTGCAAGTACACAAATGTTTTTTTTATTGTTTATTTCTTCTTTTATCAATCAGTTTGATTTTTCAACTATGCCCAGGCTAAGAATTTGTGCACATGCATATTGATTTCCCCACTTTCTGATACCAAATTTGGACACTTCTTTCTCTAATACTGATTTTAAACTCAATATCAATGTTCATTATGCATTTGATAAACTGCAGAAGTATAATGATATTACCGAGGGATTTCTACACTATTTATATGTGTTTAACCCTAATTCAAACAAGTTAATGCTAAAGTTGAAGTATTTTTGTGGCTGATGATGATAGATTTAATTTTGTTTTATTCAAGTTTTGTTTTTTGTGTTCTGTCATTTTGCATTGTTTTTGTTTTGTTGTATATATTTTTTTTGGGGGGGGGGGGGGGGGGGTAAAATTAATCTGTCATTTGAATAATTAATATGCATTTATGCTTAGATGTACAGCAATATTTGGCTAGTAAATAGAACCAATTATGAAGTTCTAGGAAATGTCTTCTCAGGAACAACCCTTTTATTGAGGTTCTTCATTTTGAATGTTGTTGATATAGAAGTTCTGAAATCGTCAACATACAGAGATTTAATTAATTTGAGAGAGCCTGCGTGTTATGTTCCAGTTTTGCATCAGTTAAACATGATAAATTTGTTCCAACCTATTTTTTAACAAGATTTCAGAGTTTGGATACTTGGTATCTGGTACTGATTTGTCAGATCAGACAACAGAAAACAGCATTGTAAAATTCTGCTTGTATGTCCATTTTATTTCAATTTGGTATTTTTGGAATACAAATGAGATAAAGCCATTTTAAATTGAGTAACATCAGCTGAACAGAATGTACAGGAACCAATCATTTAGTAGTCTTAAGAGCAAAGAATGGTAGGGAATCTGCCATTGTACTCAGTACCTTTCGAGCTACCATGTAAAAAAATGACTCATGATGTCAGATTTTACAAACCACATTGACATTAATTATCCTGAATGTCATATAATATAATAGTCAAATAATAAAAACAGAAGCCGGTGAGCCCATTTTGTAATCCAGTCTTGTTACAGGCAGCCATGAATGTAGCTTGTACCTTTGGCTTTCAATTGAATCTTTGCGATGATTTACTGGTAGCTTTTAATTGAATTTAGTCTTGTATTTTGATAAGAATTGCCAAGACTTAGGTCTTTTATAGCCTATCATATGGTATGGGTTTTGCTTATTGTTAAAGGCAGTTCAGTGACCTTTAATTTTTTACATCCTTATCCTTTGGTCTCAGACTCTCTGGTTGATTTTTTTTTCAGTGGCAATCATACCACATTCACCTATATCTATAATAATGATTGAAATGGTTAATAGTTCTTGTTATGATAGACCAAATATTTTTTCATCACAATTTCTTTAATTTCACCAAAAACGACTGAATTACCAGAACTGTTTTTTTTTATGGAACAAAAGCATTTCTAGAAGACACAAACTATGGTTTATGATTTAAATATATCAAATACAGCAATAGTTCAAATCCATAAATGAGCAGGTTACAATTGATAAAGAAGCAAAAAACAGCATCCAATACTTTTTTAAACCAAATTCAAAGTCTTAATAGCTACCAGATTGCTGAGATTAACTTTAATTGTCATAGAAAGTTGGTGTGTCCTCATTTTCTAACAACAGCTGGATATTTGTTAATATACATGTATATATTGATGCATACAAAAAAATAAAAGAATTAGAATATATGATGAACAATTTATTGAACTACAAGAAAATTGTAAATGAAACACATGGTACTATACACATTTTATACAACTTGCCACATTTTCAGAAGATCCCTAAAAAGAGCCAAATATCTGTCTAACCAAAAAGGAGGTTTAAATTTTTTAAATAAAACATAAAGAGTATGGTTGTCCTGTTTTTAGCAAAATCTTTTTGAAAAAAACATGATGATCTGCCAGATCTGGTCACATACATGTATACAAAGAAGATAATAACACCAATAAATAATGAACTGGTAACATTCACATAAAAAAAGACAGATTGACCAGCATTCACAAGTACAGGTACTAAAGGTGCAATACCAACTTTCCCAAGACAGTACAAAATGACCAGCATTCACAAATACAGGTACTAAAGGTGCAATACCAACTTTCCCAAGACGGTATAAAATGACCAGCATTCACAAATACAGGTACTAAAGGTGCAATACCAACTTTCCCAAGACGGTATAAAATGACCAGCATTCACAAATACAGGTACTAAAGGTGCAATACCAACTTTCCCAAGACGGTATAAAATGACCAGCATTCACAAATACAGGTACTAAAGGTGCAATACCAACTTTCCCAAGACGGTATAAAATGACCAGCATTCACAAATACAGGTACTAAAGGTGCAATACCAACTTTCCCAAGACAACACAAATATTACCAGTATCATTAAAACATGAAATAAGATACCATGGAATGACATGTACTAGGCAAAAGTTTCAAGGTAAACAAATGTTTAATTAACTATATTAAACATTCAATCTTTAAAAACTTTTCTCCTTTGAACTTTTCAAGAATATCTTGGAATGTATTGTAAATAACTTTTCACACAGGATAAAATTAATTTAAAAAAAAATTAGCACATTTAAGCCTCTTCAGATTTTTATTGATTTAATTTGTCTCTTGTCAAAGGAAAATTATGATTTTCCTAGAATTTAAAATTTATTTCTTAAAAGTGGCAATTACATAAACATGTAGTAGAGAATAATACTATGCAAGATATCATATATATTATTTTTGATTAAAATGTTCATTCACTATCTGTGGAGAGTCCTACAAAGACAGTAAACCAATATCTCTGTACTCCCATTCACTTACCTGAAATAAACAAGAAAAATTAATATTTTATAACTTAAGTTTTTGCAAGGCAAGTATCAATATGCCCCTCTTATTATCATGGCATGCAGACAAATATAATACTACTTAGCTTTCATAACTTTTTCATTTTAAATCCAACAACACCATCACTTACTTATTTAAAAGTACAAATATTATAGAATCGATAGTAACAAGATTAGCTTGATAAATTACAAGTACAAGTTGTAGAACCTAGTTACTGATATACATATAATAATTTATATACATACAATGAAATTCAATTGCAAGAAATTACAATTCAATCCTTATCAATAAAAAAATAATGTATATTTACAAGGCCTTATTCTGTAAACAAGTTAGAAAACTATCAGATCCCTAGTCCATTCAAAACATATCATAAGTGAATGTGTACATCAAATCAACATTGTTAAAAATTGCTAGTCAATTTATAAAGTTATTTGTGAAATTGCATTAATCTTTGTACTGATTAAATCCACATACAAATATATTTGAATGTTATGTGTTGCTATTAATAGGCACTTGTATAATCAACATTGTTGATATACTTTGCATTGAAAATTAGAGAAAAATATTTTGCTGTATTTACAAACTCCTGTACCCGCCCTTTTCACTTTTTATATAATATACATACCTTAATTATCTGTACATTCAACATAAAATTTTCTCAAACCAGTATTTTAAGGATCTGAAACTTGTACAAAACATAAAGCAAATTAGTAAAGGTAATTGTTCTTGCTCATTTATGGTAAAAACATAATATAGGAAAATATCTAAGCCACAGTTATCATGTAATAAATGATGCTATCTGAAAAAAAGACATGAAAATATGTACAGTACAAAATTTGTATTAGACATAAATATTTGCAAATTCCCATTGATGTCCGTTTAAAATAAACACCAAGGACAGCCATTCAGTAGTCCTAAAAAAATATTAAGTGATTAATACAGTTGTCTCCAATATCTCAAATTTTAAGAGTTATCTCTCTTTTGTTGAGGTTTCAATAAATCATTAATTCAAGCCCCTAAATACCTGAAATGCACAAAAAACTGAGGTTCAAAGGAAGAGTAAACAATAACAAATTTGAACAGGAAACTTGCAAATCTAGTGGTAGGAATTTGGAAACAAAACAATTGTTAAAAAAAGACTATCATGACTAATGAATATTGATAAAATAAAAAAAATATCATTGAATATTATCAATTTTGCATGAAAGTTATATACAAAAATGTATTAGTCCTGAACATTCACACACCACAAAGATATCATATTAGTTTATACAAATGCAGTTTATATAACTGGATCAAATAATATTGACAAGCAAAAAGTCAAAACTTCCAAATTGTTTATCAAGTTTAGGTTCAAGGCTTCTCCATTGAAACATTCTTTCAAAACAGAAGTGTTAATATCAGTTATAGCAGAGGTTGGGTATAGATTATTATGACAGCAAGCCAACAACACAAATTTCCAGGACATCAGAAAATAAATATGCAGAACTTAACAATTAAAAGAAGACCTATTACAATATATCAAGCCTGGTTCCACTTTTCATCTAAAAGCACTGTGATAAATTGAACAGCTTTGCCATTAACAACATATTCATGAAAGTATTTTTATCTGAAAAAAAATAAAAATTAAATCTCTTCATTACTGAAAAGCCAGTAATCATCTGTTTGATCAAGTTCCTCTACTAATCCATCTACTTCAGGTTGTTCATCTTCAACTGGATCTTCAAGGTCTTCTGTTTCATCTGAAATGACATCATCAAGGTCAATTGACATATCTAATACTTGATCTCCACTACCTGGAACATTAAAACAGTTTACACATTTACAACCTGGACCACAAAAACCATCACAGTTATCATTTTGTGCCTTCTTACATTTACACCTATTTGTTTTGCATCCAGTCTTACATCCACACCCTTTGGTATACCATTCTACAGTTTTCTCCACTTTCTGAAAATTTAAAACAGTGTCCCAAACAAGTTCTAATCTATTATCAGTGATTTGCCCTCCAGATTTTGACAAATCAGAAAGTGTATGGGTATTGCTGGTGCTCTGACTCCAATAATCAAACACCCAGCAACACCGCATCCAGTGTAGTTTGAGGGCTTCATGGTTTGGCATCATTTCCACTTCAGTGACCACTCTTTCCCACAGCTTTTCTCTGATGGCTGAAATAAAAGATACATGTTTTTCATGTAAGTTCCCCTCTGAAATAGAATCAAATAATGATTTAGGAGTAGAATATGGCTGAAATGCAGCACGATGTTTATTAAAATAAACAGAACATATTAACCTGTAAAATGAATGAAGGCCGTTATGACCATGAACATCTGCAAAGCTTCCATTTCCTACAATAAAAGAGGCATGCTTTCTGAATACATCAAAAAAAGTCTTCTTACCACAACCTCTGAAATATGACACAAAATCACATCCACTATAGATAAAAAGTAACTGCATACATATCAAAACACTGTCAATTCCCTGTAAAAGTGAATCATTTAAAGTAATACACTTTACAAGTTTGTCCATGGAAAGAAATGAATTGTTGTATGGTGAATCTCTCAACTGCACATATACAGTTTTATTCAAATTAGGTACAAGTGGTAAACCTATAAAAAATACATCAGTATCAGGGCTGTAGATTATGACTTGATCTGCTGTTGTAACTGATGCATGTAACCATACTCTAGTATCTGCCTCTTCATGATTACCAGATGCCAAGTCATAATCTACAACCTGACCATTTAATATGGAAATTGCTCTGTCTTTTCTGTCATCATCAAATCCTCCAGCTGTAACAAAACAACATTGGTTAGTAGAGAAAAAAGTCAATGAAAGAGACAAAAAATATTCAGACAAAAAGTTAACCAAAAGTCGCTTTTGATGGCGAACTGCAATAAAAATTTCTCCAGTTTGATAGCAATGGTGTGTCGGAGGAAATACATGTACGTACAACTGGTTCCTGTACAACTGTATTCCTCCGCGTTCTTTCAATGTCTTTTGGGCTAACACCATTCCTATTTGGATCATCAAATAGTAAATGAACTTCATTTGCTGTATACTGGTTATAATACTTTATAATCCATCTATTAAAAAGAAATTCACCATAATCACCAAAGGTCTGGTGTGAGGCAAGTGGACTGGTATTGATAATAAACATACCATCAATAATGACAGTAGTTTTACTTGATACTGGAGTCTTAGGAACCTGTAATAAAAAAGCATCAGAATAAATATGTTTAAAGACATTAGCTGCAGTGGCTTTTTGGCCCTTTTCTGGAATTCCTTCTGCATCACACAAAGCACGTGGCAGCTGTAAAAACTGGTCCAAATCCTTGACTGCATTACCACTATGCTTTGAAAATGCATTTTTTTTCCTCAAACAAGAAATCACTGTATTTTGATCTTTAATTTCTTTTTTTTGCTTGTGAATAGTTATTTTAATAGGGGCAAAAGTTTTTAAATTTCTTCTTTTTCTGGGGGGAGGCTTTCCTGCTGTTTCACAAGTTCTAAATAAAAAGCATTTTAAATAATTTCCCAAGTCTTCCTCACCATACTTTCTATAATTTATCAAACTGTCAGTCTGTTCATGGTCAGTCTCAGTTCTGGTAAAAATATGATGTAAATTTTCATTACAGTTTATGACAAACAGAGATGATGTTTCTAAATTGGACATGTATTCACAAACTGTTTTTTCTGCATTTTTAACATATGACGTTGTACCTTCTCTCTGATATAACCCTTCTTCTCTTTCAAGTTGTAATTCTGATTTAAGGTTATGCAATGTCTTTGCTCTGTAAGGTAAATAAAAAGTGAGATTAGCCAAAGAAGACTGGCTGAAAGAGTTAAGAGCATTTTTTGACTTTAAATTAATTTCCATTTCATGTGCTTCATCTAGTGCTACAGAATACAAATGTTTACCTGAAATTGAAACTGAAAAGCAGCCAGCTTCAAAATGTTTAATAACAGGTTCTGGAAAGGTGTGGAGATCAGCAAGATGGTAGGGTATGAGTCTCTGATAATTTTGCCTATCAAAAGCATGAAATAGACAAGTAATTTTTTTCAGTGAAACATTCCGTAAGTGCCAGTTTCTACTACGTATAGAGAAAAACAAACCAAGATAAGCCATAAAATCTAAATGTACAAAACTGTCCCAAAAAGCAAAAGTTTGGTTGACTGAGGAGTTCTCATGACGCCAAGTGTTATATTCTTCTAATAAATCATCTGTAAAAAAAGTAAAAATCTCCCTTTTTTTCTCACATACCTTCTCCCAGACATCAGTTTTACAAACATCCTCTTCTCCTTCATCTAATGACATATCTGAAATAATATCAAATATTAAATCTGAAACTTGAATATCATAAGGTGATTCACATGATTTGTATTCAAAAAAAGATTTCACCTGATGTCTCATAACTGCTTCCCAAGCTTGTATAAAAAACCTATGAGTTATTGCAAACTTGCTACACTCAGTTAAAACTTTTAACGTAGCTCCATGATGATGTTTAGTAGCAAGTTGCTTCAATCCAGCATCAAAATAAATCTTGACAAATATGGGAAGGACATTTTTTAATATATGCCAATCACCAGGGTAGGCAAGTACCCAATCCATGTTTTCCCCATATTCTGATTTAAGTTTGATCAAATGATCGTAACTTTTCCCGTCACCTACAACAACAACATAATTAGTCAACTGACCAACTTGAAATTTATCATTTAAAATATTCAAAACCTTTAATACTGTTTCTTTGCTGTCTGCTGTTTCATCCAGAATGGCTACTGAAGAAAAATCTGATTTTTCAGTGGTTTCAACTGGAATAGAAAAAAAGGTTTTAATACCTGGTAAAACAATATTTTCTTTTTTGAAAAAGTTTTTTGAAAATCCATATTTTGTTACACTTGTATAGAATTCATCCCATTCTGAAATCTCTGCAGCTGTTTCATCTAAATCTGATGGTGACATGTTAGAAAACTTATTCTGCTTTTTTACTGGTGGGAGCCCAAATTTGTCTTCTGGATTTACAACTTTCTGAATAATGTCTTTTTCCAGTTTACGGTCTCTGGAATTTTTAAGTTCAGATATGTCATGTTCGATGTTGGTCTGATTAAGATTTGAAATCAGATTGGAGTCATCAAACATATTAATTTTTTGACTTGGCTTTGGAACCACAGTCTGTATTGTGGTTCCATGGAAGCCACTTCTATCTTTTCCAGCACATACTACAGAGTAAGCCTGGTTTTTATCAAGGTTATCAAATGAGGCTACAATAAAACTATCTGATAAAATATACCTCTGTTTTTGTTCTAATTCTCTACACCTATTAGTAATGTATCTTCTGAGAGAGTCCTTTGAGATACCAGCCCCTAATCTAGCATTAATGGAAAGAAATGTGCTAGATGAAGTAGAAAACTTATCAGCTATGTCTGTATATAATAAATGCAAAGGTTGCACACACTGGGAATTCTGTAAATGAAAAATACAACTCAAAATGTACAAACGTGGCATCATTCTGAAAATATTGAAAAGAGGTTCAGAATAATGTGAATTCCAAGTAAATTGTGACTTCTTCAGCACTTTCTCTTCATTATCAGTAGAACAAATTCTGAAAATAAAATTCCATAATATAGGGGGGATTTTCAAAATTTCATCTTTACACTTAAAGTTGTCAATGTCAGGAAGTCTGTCCATCTTGATTTTATCTGATACATATATTTTAACATAATTTTTCAAGATTTTTACAGCATCTTCTAGACTTTGCTCTTGTTTGTTTTTTCTACTTTCTGCTGATACAGTAGAAGCCATTTTTTCTGCTTGAATTATGCTTTCTTTTTTTAATCTTTTGTTATCGTCAATACATTTAAGATTTTCTACAACAACTGTGTGTAAAAAACCAAAAATATCAGTACCATTCCTGTAAATCATTCTCCCTAAATTTTTTTTCTTTGGCACATAATATGATAGGGCTCTGCCAAGACACGACTTCAACATGGTAAATAACCACTGAGGACGATGAAAAACCTTCTGCTCTACACATAAGTCTAACTTTTTTGCATTTTTGTGTAAAATACATTTATACTGTTCGTATAAATTTGGTAAAAGCAAGGCTTTTTCTTCTACAAAAGAACTTATGGCAGTTGTTTGGGACAGCTGGTCCTCTGCAGCATCTGATCTAGAAAAGGAATTAAAATTATTGTAACAATAAGGACAACAAATTAAATTTTCCACATGCATATCAAAGTTGAAGTAACGAGTAAATAGCTCCCGTTTATCCTCACTGACAGTTTTAAATGAGCCAGTGTTCTTTCCAGAAAATTTGTCACATACTATACATTGTACAACAGTTAGGTTAATACATTTGTTCAATTTATTATAGTGGGAATGACAAAGATGAGAAAAAAAGGTATCACTGGTACTGTGTTCTGGAAACTGTGTATGCATAGAAACTGAAAAAGCCTTCTCGAAAACTGGAACATTGATTTCAGTATAATGGTGAATATCTGAACTATTGCAGCCATCAGCATCTGCAAAATTGGACAAAAAACACTTATCAGTCTCTGTACGGGTTTTTTTTAATGGGGAAACCTCTGGTTCAGTGTGGGAATCATTCTGTACTCTGGAAAAAGCTTTTTTCAACTTACCCTCACATTTTCTGCATATGCAGTCTAATTCAGCAATTTTATAATTTGAAGAAACAAAATTAGTAAAATCTGGCAAGTCGCTCGCTTTCTGAATTAAATGAATATATCTATTTGATATATGATCATTATTACAATAGGCACATGGTCCTGGTCTTCTCTCAGGGTGCAATTTACTACAACTGCTACGACCAGACATGGTTATGAATAAATGAAGAAAGTCATAAAAACATAAATGCAACACAAAAAAAACAAAGAACAAATAACAGGTATTCCTAACTGTAAATAAGATCATTAGTCAGCAGAATCTGTGCCACTGGCACTGTGAGTGTGAACTGTGATATAGAAAGTCAAAATGATATCAGATAACCTGTACATCATGTTCTCATATGTTTAAAAGGTACATATCACTGAATGATTACATAAAACAGAATATGTGAGTGAGGAGCTGGTCTGAAATACTGAAATTCACATTAAAAATTATAATAAGTTCGTCCTCCTCAGGTTTTTGTGGGGTATCCTCTCATAAACGGGTAAGGAAATTTGTATTTGTGGTCTTAAAACATCTAAAAATAATGTTGCATCGTGTATTTATCTTTAGGCCAACTGTATCTGTAAGGAAACCTATAAAAACGGAGTTATAAATGGTTTATAATGGGTGCAATAAGGGAAAGTATCTGTAATCTTGAAACTGCTTTCTGAAGGTTAATATACGGAAGCTGGCGTTGGATGCTGGGTAGTAATGAGGTTTCCCTGATGCATTTATATATAATTCGTTTATTTTTAGCATCTACAATTTGATTGGTTTAGGGGGATGCAAGTGTGCCAGTTAAATTTAGGCTGGGTTTTTACCCGCCATAAATTTAGACACAGACGTCAAAGCAAAATTGACTCTAGAGAACGACTTGAATTTTAATATTTTCCAAAACTAATAACATTTCAGCTGTGCAGTCAAGTCTCTGTGATATTTATCTTGAAAAAAACACGTACAAACAGTCACGATTAAAAGGTAGTAACGTGTTCTCAGAGTATTCCCGACTGTTGCCGCTAGCGATAGATTTGTTTTGTTTTTGATACAGCGCCACCTATAAGAAAATTCCCGTTTATCTCCACTTAGCGCGCGAATTTTGACATGCAATGATCTGATTGATCGATTCGATCCGTGGCTTCCCGGCTGAGAGATAACTGCATTTGAAAGATAAAAACTATATCCTTTTTTTTTTTTTTGATTAATTCAATTTTGTTTTTAAATTATTTTTAAAAGAAAAATAATAATATCCGATACTGTTACAGTATTCTCAGTGATAGGTGATATATGTCGTCTGCTACGGTCGAATACGAAACTACGAATAACGTAGCTAACTACCGGAGACTCAGATAATCCGATAAATCTATAGTGACCAATCTCTGTGTTATAGTAGTCTCAGTTCTAACATGCATTGTTATATTTGCTGCTGGACATCAAACAGTTGTCAATCATTTTTTTCTAAATTAACAATGTGATAGCCAAAATTTCAGTGCAATTCTTCAATTGTTAAATATTTCCCGAATTATGTAAATATTGTGTTTACACTCAAAAACAAAGTAACATATAATATCTGCTTTGATTGTCTTCAAACAAAAAGTTGTTGGTGGTAATATAAGTTGCCTTTGGAGTTATACCATATCATTTTACAAAATTACTACCTTCTCTAAAAAAAAATCCCTTCTATTGCAATTAGTGGACAAGATTAAGTCCATCTGAGCATCTATTGGCTGTGCCAACTTTTTACTTCGTGTTTTTTTATTGTTGCTGTAATAGCACATTTTTTTTTCAGTTCACAGTTATCATTGGTATGAAATATTTATATTTTGCAATGAGAGTAAGTGAAATACTCATTCAAAACCATAGAAGTTCTAATTAAGTACACTAATGACATGTAAAGCTATGTATTAGGTCCTCTCGTGTTTAAAACCACCCCACGGAGATTTTGAAAAGTTGGTAGGTATGAGTTGGGCATATTTTCCAAAATAGAAACCGTGTTAGGCCCTAGTAGCTCTATAGACTATGCTAGAGCCATGTAACCTCAGACCTGGGACTATTATACTATCAATGACTATGTCAATATATTAAGCCCCAGTTCAGACTTTCACATCCCTATAGGAATTGCACTTTCGATCTGTCCAGGCAAAATTTTAACAAGCAGACGTTTGGGCACTTTGAACATTGTTCTGTCCCTCTTAAAAGTTTCAGTTTTGAATAAGAACTAAAAGTTTCAAATGATGTATATCTGTCCATACTGAAAACATTCCCATTGTTCTTAAACTTGATGATATAAGGGGACGACCATTTGATTTTCTGGGAGTTGTGTGCAGGAGGACTTTGATAATATCCGGGCCTTGTAAGAGATGAAAATAAATAAACTTGCATAAGAGGTCATAAGACAGGACGAAAATGAATATTCTGCAACACAAAATGTAGGAATCACTTGTGTAAAAAAATACTTATAAATTTTCGTGCGCAGAAAAAAAAACACGCATGTGTAGCAACAGATCGAAATGAATAGTCAATCCGAAAAAAAATCCCCCTCCCCCAGAATATCAATTGGTCGTCCCCTAAAACAGGTATAATTGCCATTCAACAAAATAAAATTAAGACTTGATCTATATGTTCTTAGAATATGACCATAAACGGATATAAAACAACTCTAGATCTGCCGAAAAATCTCGCCTGTTTATTTATTTAATCATACGTGAATAGCATGTTGACAGTTTTTCAGGTACATGTATCAACAACACTCTTAAGTTTGATAAATTATTGAACCGTGAAAAGTATGTTACGGTCAGGACACGGCTATCTATCGGACATCTACAACTAAACAATTTTATAGACCAGATGTATATAAAATTTCCATATGTTTACCATTGTAACTTAAACTGTCAGATCTAACTTTATGATTTCATGCATTGCACTTGGAGCTCAAGTAACAACTTTAATGGACAATATACATGTAGTTCTACAGTTGTTTACAACAATAAGGTGTTTTAAACAGTGATACTGAGGGGACAGTATCAAATACAACTCTGGTATTTAGATTAATTTACATCCTTCTACAGTGATAAAAAAAAAATGCCCATCAAAATCAAAAAAAGATTTGTTTTCTGAAGAAACACTAAATGACTTTAGACTTCATATATCTGGTGGTTGCTAGGACATTACTCATAGTAACTAATAAACTTAACATTGATCACTGAACCATTCTATAGACGAAATAAAGTTGACGGTCTACTCACAGTAACTTAAAAATTTACCCAAGCAGGAACAATTAAATATGGATCCATGAAAATGAGGTCAATGTCAAAAGTCTAGTCAGACGGCAATGTACACCCAACAACGCATTTTGATATATTGACCCTAATATTGTTGACCTGCTACTAAATAGTTATCGAAAACTGACCTAAGGTGACAAATTTTAGTGTTTTCTGAATGCATTTTATCAGATCTGATCTATCAAAAATAATTCCATAACATTTAATGTAACGAATGATCAGTTTCAATTTCTATTTTTCTTACGTGTATCTCTTATTTTGTTAACTGTTGTTTAGTATGGTACATCGACTGCATTTGTCACCTTTTTATTCGCATACCTGGGAAATATTATTTGATTTATTTTCAATATATCAAAATTTAAAATGGAATGCTGAGTTTCGGATATTTTTTGCACAGTACCAGCAAAATGGAAATGCCACGTCAATGAAAAAACATATGGTCTTTTAATAAGAGAACAAACAAAACAAATATATGAATATCTGTAACCTTTAATATCTCAATAAAACGTGTATATAATTAACAAAAACAAAAAAACACAATTTATATAAAACAAAGCACTAATAGTTCTTGTATCACAGATTATTTATATATCACTAGTTATAATCATCATTCACATCATATTCTAAAATCTCATCGCTTTTCTTGCATATCTGCGTTTTTCTCCAGCTGTCCACGACTTCGACTTGACTCGGAAATGTCGCAAATCTTCTGAGTGGTCGGAATGAAGCATTGGTCGATAGCTCACTGGATCACATAGAACTGGTTGTTCATTGAAGAATGCCTTGTAACCATTATCTAGTAAATAAATTTCTGGAAAATTCAGCGATGGATAGTTTTCTTTGTTGAGTTCTCGGTCTTTGCTTCTGAGAAATCGTAACATTTTAGGACCTCTTTCGGACGAAAACTCACAGTGGAAGATGACAATCTGTTTATCTTTAGTCGGTTGCCGAAGCAAAGTCAAAATGGTCTCGTGCAAATACATATTCTCTGCTCCTCTGACATGTCCGCCTTCAAATTCATAAGGGTATCGGCAGTCGATGATCTTGTAGTCACTGATTACGTCATCGTAGTCTCCATTAACAACACCAGCAAGTGTCTGCGGAGTGATGCTTTTCAAATCAGAATGCTTTCCAGCGACAGTTGGTAAAGTGTGTAATCTGCTACCATCGGCTATGAAGTCATCGTTCTCTTCAAGTTTGGTTACCACAGCCTTTATATCGGTACAAACTTTTGGTCGTTTTGAACATCTATATTTGTCGTCGTCTTCTCGCTGTCTCTTGGCGGATTTCTGCAAACTTGGTGTACATGTAACATGATCCTCCATACCGAGACCGGAATCCTCGTCATCATCAGGAAACAGACTTCTTTTGATGTTTGGAGTCATTACAGACATAAGGTTATCAGCTTTTACTGGAGTAGAATCAAAACTCAGAGTAGATACAGAGGCTGGGAATGCATCAAATTCATCATCTGTGTCGAATAATCGTTTTGAAAACATAATTGTTGTTTGTCTGAAATGTGACTGTCAAGTATAACTATTTGAATGCTTACTGCTGAAATTTGAAATATTTTGAATTTATATTTGAAATAATATGAATTTATATTTTAAATTTTTGAATTGACAATAAGTGATATCGGTCTCTAATTGGGAAGTCGTGCTCATCTCATTACTCAAGAGTGTGTAAGCAGTGTTCACCTCGGGTCGACCTTGTAAAGCTTTTGTTAATTATTTAATTAATCGCCAATCAATGCCTATGATTGAATTTGTTACATCTAACAGATTTCTAAATCATTAAGTATTCATCAAAGGCTTCAAAATTAATTGCAATCATGACACAAAGTAATAACTGCACAGGAATATGAAAAATGTTCACATATATTTACTTCGTAACCACAAGAACTAAAAGTGTAAATAAATAGAATAAAAGTAAGAATTTAATTAAATAAAAAAAAATCATTAAAAAATAAATATACAATTGCGACAATAAGTAAAATAATTAACAGTATAAAGTGAAATAGTACTAAACTCTTGCAAACGGAATAAAAAACGAAAAATAAAACCAATATAGATTTAATTCAAATGAATTAAACTAAAACAACTGTTCTAACGGAACATTCGTGCGTTAACTCTTTAAGTGTAAGGCAAATCTTTCAAGATGACAATAACACCATTTTTTAAAATAAGATGCTTTCTACAAGGAGTATTACAATTTGTAAACACTAGGGAACTGCATGTAACTTCTTGCTGTTTTTTTTTCTATTCGAAATTACGTTGCCAAACAAGAAACAATTTACGTGTTATTTTGAAAATTTGTCATTGTAATGATTGATTGATTGTTGTTTGCTTAACGCCCAATGGCGAGATTTTCATTCATATGCATGACGACTGTAAAAAAAGGGGGAGCGTAAATGTCAAATTTAAAGAAGGTTGAATCACACAATTGATTTTACACATACGCTATATATAAATCTTTATTCTCATCACCAAATACATAGGTGCAGAGAAGACATGCAATACATTACATTAAATACATACACATAAATATACAATATACACAACAACAGCAAAAACAATTTCAGTTTATTCAGGGGGACACACTTGCTTGTTTATAATTCGTATAAACTTACATAAATTTATGAGAGCTGTCCTATTTGTAGAAGACATAATTTCAGTAAATATTATAAAATTTGGTCTTCTATTAAAATTTTGATTTATAAGTTTATTTCTCTCTTCTATAAAATGTGAACAATTTATAATGTAATGGAATTCATCTCCAATGTCTAGACTGCACAAATTACACTTTTCTTTTCCTTTTCTACATTGAACCATCTTCCAAGTTCGACTGGAAGTTTATGGTTACATATTCTAAATTTACATAATGTAAACAAATCTTTTTCGTCTAAAATATTAAAAATATTCTTCAAAACAAAATAGTTTCTTAATAATACGGTAATTCAAGGCTTTCGAACAGTTTTGAATAATCTCGTGCCATGTTTGTTTGAATTGATCATACAATCTTGCTTTGATATTATATTTCAACCGTACATCATTTAAAAAGAACTGTGTGTTCCAGATATGAGAAAATCCACATTCATCAAATATACGTATAACAAATCTTAACCATTTAAAATCTATGTTTTTTGTACAATACAAGTGGTATAGTAGTTTATATATAATATAAGAATACTTTGACTGTTTCCCATAATCAATTTCGACCAGTAGAATATCATCTTTAATTTTACATCAATATTAAGTGGAAAACGTCCTAGCTCACCGTATATCATACAGTTGGGAGTGGAAGATTTCAGATTCAGGAGCAACTTACAAAAATTTAGAACCTTTTCAATAATATCACAGTTACTGAATCCCCATATTTTCTGATCCATATAACAGATCAGGTTTGACTGCACTATCAAAAAGATCTAACTGACAAGAAACTGATAGGCTATGAAATTTTTCCCTTTTAATTATCTCATACATCGCTTTTGTCCCCTTTTCAACTTCTGATTTAATTGCCTTTTTATAATTTCACGTTTTTGTTAATAAAATACCCAAATAGATAAACTCTTGAACGATTTCTATCTCTTGGTTATCTAAAACAAAGTGTCAATTGTCTGGTAATATTCCACATGAAAAACAGAATATTTTAGTTTTGGATACATTAACTTTTGATTTCCAGTTTTTACAGTATTCATGAAAAATATCTATATATATAAACTGTCTTTGAAGATCTTCTGGTGTTTCGGACGTCAAAACAGTATCGTCTGCATATAAAAATAAAAAGATGTTGAGAAATACATCAAGTTCAATTTCTATTTCTTCTGTAACTGTGAAAAGGCCTTTACAGTTTTTCGTCTGTAAAAAAAGATCCAAATCATTTAAAAATACTGCAAACAAAGAAGGGGACATGTTTCCTCCTTGTTTAACCCCATTATTACACGGAAAATAATCAGACTTGCTGTTGTTAAACATAATAATACTTGATTTTATATTTTTGTACATATTTTGTATCACATTTAACATTTTCTTATTTATATTGTTTTAACAGTAATTTATGCCAAAGCCCATCCCTCCAAATTCAGTCAAAAGCCTTTTCAAAGTCTATAAATGCACAGTAAAGTTTTTTCTTTCTTTTCTTCAGAATTTCAAACATATAATGCAATATAGATAAATTATCCATAGTGCTATAACCTTGGGAAAGGGGGGGGGGGGGGGGGTAGGAGGTGTCCTGATCCCGAAATCCCGGGCTTAAAAACATGGAACCCCGATGTCCCGAATTTTAAAAAATTTAAATCCCGACATCCCGACATTCGAAAAAAGAATTCCCGGATCCCGAAAGGATCAATCCCGAAATCCCGAGCTTAAAAACACCCGATCTCGGAGTCCCGATACAGGTCCTACCCTCTCAACCTTGCCTAAATTCACATTGTGTTTCATGTAAAGTCAAGAAATCGTCAGAATATTTGTTTAAACGCTCTGTTAAAACAGCCGTATCCCGGTTTGTTCTTAAATATTGGTATAACATTACCAACTAGCCAACTTTCTAGTACAAATCTGGTACCAAATACCAAATTGATTAAATTTTCATAAATATCGATAAGCTGATTTGAAGTTGCTTTTATGTATTCATTTATAACTGCATCTTCGCCACCAGTCTTATCATTTTTCAATTTTTTAGGCAAAAGTTTAAGTAGAAAATTATTTTGATGATAATTGGCAACATTTAAAAACTTCACCTATAAAAAAGAAAGATAAATAAATAAAACTACAGGCACCATACGAGCTTAAATCGTTCATCTGGCAAATTCCCGTAACAGCTCAAGAGAGTGAGGATAACTTATCGATAAGGCCACTTTTTTGGGCCCTTGTATTTGAAATTAAAAGATATTATAAAATCTACCAAATAATACCCTTCAGGTGTCCAAAAGACAACAGTCAGGCAGATATCAGTATTTATAGTTTTGAATTTTGCCTTACATATTTGCATAAATGCTTCACTTTTCTTGAATTTAGCGCAAAACTGCAAACCCTGCCGAAGTAGCCTCATTTTTAGGTATTGTCATTATACGATGTATCTATATATATGAGCTTTAAACAAACATATCGATTGCAACACTATGCATATTACTTAGATGTAATGTTTAAATAGAAGGGATGTGCCACCTTTGGTGCAATGTTTCCCCTCCTGATATCATTAATACAGTGTTTTTTTTTGGACCCTTCTGATATCATTAATACAGAGTTTTTTTTGGACCCTCCTGATATCATTTAAACAGAGTTTTTTTTGCACTCTCCTGATATCATTAATACAGAGTTTTTTTAGGCTCCTCCTGACATCATTAATACAGAGTTTTTTAATGCCCCTCCTGACATCATCAATACAGTATATAGAGTTTGATTAAAGTTGACCTAGTTTCAGATATGATGAACATGTAATTTTCTAAGGGTTATAACGGAAAGCATGTGCCCCAAATGATCACCGATGCCACCATGTGCCGAAGAATTAACGTTAAATGTGGAATACTTGTAAGAGGGTCTCTTAATCAGCTATCCCAAAAAGTTTTAAAACATTTCCCTATGTAGTTGCAGAGGAGAAAGTGACTTCCATACATTTAGTATTCAGTGTTAGAGGAGATGACGAAAATTTTAATTGCCATATGATTCCAATGGGATATAGGTATAACAAATGCCACAATATGAATAAAAGAAATGTACGTCAATGAGACAGCAACCAAACGACAAAAAAACATCCAAACAAATGATACATCTAATGGGCAACATAGTCTTACAAAATAGACAGGTGTCTACCCAATATGCAAGCTTTAAATCGTCCCAAGTTTATACAAGTTGTGAGTATTGAAGCAATCCTCAGTAGATCTGCCATCGACACCAAATTCTCTAAATAACAAAAGACATAAAGATAAGACATAAGACGACCACTTACGAAGTTCCCGGCTTTGGACCGGCACTTGGTAAACTCATCATAGTTACATTTTGTATCAGGATTAAAATTTTGCACGCCATGCGCGCATTTCGTCTACGAAAGACTCATCAGTGATGCTCAAATAAAAAAATGAAAAAGTTCAAACAAAATATAAAGTTGAAGAGAACTGAGGACCTAAATTTCTGAAAGGTTTTGTCAAATACAGCTAAGGTAATCTACCCTTGGTGTAGAAAATCCAAAGTATTTCGAAAAAAAGACTGACAAGTTTTGAATATGTTTGCTACCTAATCAGCATTAGAATTTAATGAGGATCGTATCACCAATCCTCTAAGGTTTCTAAAACATTTCCGCTTTAAGTTTCAAAGAAGAGAATTTTTGAAAATGTGCCAAATAGAATCTTCATTGGTTTTTAACAGAACTATGTGCAATCAATGTCGCCATGTTTGGCACACATCCAGCATGTAATTTTAATGAGGATCTTTGTAGAGGATCAGCCAATCATAAATCTAAAGCTTCAAACCATGTCGTCTGGTTAAGAGAAAATTATTTTTTA